AGAACTTCCAATGAGGTTGCAAGAACTTCAAGATGCTATAAACAAACTTCCATTGAGACATCCAATTGACGTCAAATTGTATTGGAGAGCATCTGAGTTAGGTCAGAAGGTTTTATATGAAACAGGTTGCTTCGACGATGTTTATGAGATAACAGGAGAAGTTCTCAGAAGATAAGAGACTCACTTGAATTTCCACAAACTGTACCAATTGGTTGCGACAAGTTCGACTCAGATGAAAAGATATACTATGTCGACCTTAACGCTGCATACATGAGGTTTGTCCAATATATTCCGACTGGAATTCCAAACGAAGATGGTGAGTTCCCGGGAAGGAACTATACAGTTGGAAAAGTCATACAACAACTGTATGATATTAGGAAAGCTTCAAACCCCAAACTTGCAATGACACTCAAATTGCTTATGAATTCGACATGGGGATATTCCATTAAGAAACCTCAAGAGATGAAGAGTAAATATAGGGTGTCCAAAGGTGCGTTTAGCACAGCGCTCTATATGAGACTATTAAAGGAGATATATGCTGATTATAAATATATAATAAAAAATATGAATATATGTATATGATGAGTATGTTGTATTTTGGCGCCATGCCGGGATATAAAATGAATTTTGAGACAAGAGGCGGTTTCGCGGGAAATTTTGGCGGGATTTTTTCATTTTTTTAATGAATCATAAAGAAAACATCCTCGCTCTTGCAAAAAAATGCAAAGACTGTAAAAAAATCTACGAGACATTGGTAAAATGCTTCGGTATGGATGCTCCTAGCTATTCCACTGTAACGTATCATGTTAGGATGTATCACTTCATGAACAAAAAGGCGCCCATCATAAAAATTGACAAAAAATCGCCGGATCAAAGAAAAATCAAAGCAATTCTTCAAGCGCTAGATGAAGACCCAAGAGCATCACTCAGAAGGATAGAGGAGATGACAAAGATACCATGTACAACAGTCAGTTATTATCTGCACAATTATTTGAACTACAAACTAGCGTATACACGTTGGGTTCCGCACAACCTTAATTCAGTTCAAAAAAAATCTAGAGTCCAATCTTCGAAAGAGCTCCTCTCTATATTGGGTGCGTATCAATCCAAGAAGTTTCGCTTTTTAGTAACAGGGGACGAGTCTTGGTTTCAATATGCAACAGAAGTCAAAATCATGTGGATCCCGAAGGATGAAAATCCGCAAACATTCCCGAAGAAAAAAATTGACACACCAATGATGATGTTGTCGGTTTTTTTGGGCGTGAATGGCATCATCGCAATTGATATTCTTCAAAAACCTAATACGATGAATGCTCAGTATCTAATTGACAATGTTCTTATTCAAATTATCAATTCTGATGAGTTTGAGAAATCCAAACAACAAAAACAAAAGTTTGCAATTCATTTTGATAATTCAAGAGTTCACAAAAGTCATAAAGTAATGAATTACTTGGTGGAAAACAATGTCAAAGTTGTTCCAAACCCAATTTATTCACCTGATATTGCACCCTCTGACTTTTATTTATTCGGCACGCTAAAAAAGAGAGCTGAAGGACGCGAATTCGCGAGTCCAGATGATCTTGAAAATTTTGTAAGAGAGCAATTTGAGCAATTTTCTCATGATGATTTAAAGCGTGTCTTTCAAGCCCGGATCGATCGCTGCGAACGCGTGATTGAATCCAATGGTGATTATATTTAAATAAACTTTATATATATGTAACTTGTTTATTTCTATTCGCAGTATTCAGGTTTGTGCTAAACACACCTTTGGACACCCTATATTATGAGAAGGTCGACAACTTTGTTGAAAGGTTTTCTCCTTTTGTTTTGAAGTACGAATTCACTCAAGGTCAAAGTGGCTTAGTAACCACATTAAAACCTATTGTCGAACATTGGTCTTACCCTCAGTTCGCAAAGGTAGTCCTTGACAACTACAACAAATTCTTCTCGCGAAGTCAAATCCAAAGTGAAGGTTTACTATGAGAACATTGACGCACTCATGACGAACGAAGAAGGCTATAACAAACTCATTGAAATGGGAATGGTCGGTGAAAAGATGGGCTGTTTTTAAGCTAGATAAGGTATTTTCCGAAGTTCATGTAATATCGAAAAGGAAATATTGGGGCATACTGAAGACGGCACAGAAATAAAACATTGCATGAAATAAAAAATTTTTTTTAAAAAAGTGACATTTTTAATTTTATTTGAAATGTACGCTGAGTTTGTTGGAGAAGACCGTTAGGAAACTTGTTTGTTAGATGAGAAATATGAAATGGCATACCATTTTAAAACAATATATTTTTACATATATTAAATGCTTCAGGTTGAAAACAAAGAACAAAAGTAGCAGATACAAAACCGTTAGACTATATCTTTACAAATGCTGGTAGGACTATTTCAGATGAAGAAATTTCATCCCGAGCATACAGGTTTGACTATCCAATTCGTTGGCTTCAAAGTCCTTCAGATGCAAGGCAATAGGATTTAGAAGAGTTTTGTTTTCAAATAGAACTAACGCATTTATGTTCGCAGTATATTTTCATGGGCAGTATAAAGGTTCTGATGGTCTAATAGACAAATTTGACGAAATGAGAATCTTTACAGTTCGTTCAGACGAAAGTCTTGAGAAAACTCTAAATGACTTTCAAACTCAAATGAACAAATATTATTGGGAATTTCAAGGAAAATACGACTCTTTACTAAATGGAACATACTATCTGAAACTAGAATATGACAAGATGAACTCCACCGTTTCATTTCAAAAGATTGAAAATTAACCCTCCAAGAGATACAGAGTTTTTTATTTTGGGAAGTAGACAAACGTTCTTGGGCACAATTTCTTCGGTTACTAAACCAGAACGAACCATTACCACCAGATGGTCCATTTAAATTTATACTTCCACCAGCAGATTTGATGGTTTATAGAAACGTGTTTGACCCTCAAAATGTTATGTGTCATGCAAGTTTCAGTTCAAGCAACAATAGTTTTCTATGTATTGGTAAGGACCTTTATGACTTTGCTTCTAAATTCTACGAACCACCTAGTAACAGTTTCTCTGACTTTCAAGTTTGGTTCACAACAAATGGTGTGCAACATATTATTCCATTGTACTATGACTTTTATCTCGAATTGTCTTTCATATATAACTACGGAAAAGTGCTGAAAAAGTATTGAATGTGAAGATATTAGAAAATAACATTTTTTCTAACATCGTAGAAAACTCATGAAAACAATTTATTTTTGACACTTTCACAAAAAACATAAAAAAGTGAGTTAAAATGAGATGTTTACTGAACTGGTTGGATGTCGCCTTCACAGGTTATGTAGAATGGTTGACCCGAGAAGTGGAACAGTGCTCTGAGAATTTGTATAATTCGTGGAATTGAACTCTCTCTGTTTGGAAGTTGTATCCATGGGTGCTTTGCAAAGAACTTGAGAAGAGCTTCTTTCTTCATCTCCTTTATGTCGTCTACAGGAGTGTTTTCTGGTATTTGAATTGGAATTCCGGTTTCAATTTCGATTTTCAGCGCACCTCTTCCAGACAACCAGAAGCCGAGGGACTTGTTGGCTTTGTCCTTGCCCAAGTACTGCTTAACAACTTCATTTATCTCTATAAGGTAAATTGCCTCATCTAATGGCTCGATGTTGTCCATTGTTCTGTTTCAGAACTAGTCTTGTACTTTGTCAGAACAATACTTGTACTGTTTCAGAACTAGTCTTGTACTTTTTCAGAACAATACTTGTACTGTTTCAGAACAATACTTGTACTTTTTCAGAACAAGACTTGAACTTTTTCAGAACAAATTTCCCGTAAAAGCTCTCAATTTGTGAGGAAAATTTTCTGTTTCAGAACAATACTTGTACTTTTTCAGAACAATACTTGTACTTTTTCAGAACAATACTTGTACTTTTTCAGAACAAGACTTGCACTGCTTCAGAACAATACTTGTACTTTTTCAGAACAATACTTGCACTGCTTCAGAACAATACTTGTACTTTTTCAGAACAAGACTTGCACTGCTTCAGAACAATATTTGTACTGTTTCAGAACAATATTTGTACTGTTTCAGAACAAGACTTGCACTGCTTCAGAACAATATTTGTACTGTTTCAAGACAATGTCCGACGTCCCACCAACCGAGTCCATTCCCAAACCAGAGGAACCTAAAGAACCACAACAGTCTCCTCAGTTCCAGCAAGTACCTCCGAATTACTACCAATTTCCACCTCAAGGTTACTACCCACCACAAGGCTTCCCGAACTACCCTCCTCAGCCTATGCCTTACTTCCCCAACCCTTGGTTGTTTATGCAAAACCCTGCCCCACAATTCCAATTCCAATCTCAGTCCAAGAGAGACCAAGACTTCGAAGAAGGTCTGAACCGCTTACGCAAAGAGTATGCTACAGCTCCAATTGAGAGAAAGTTGTTCCCGGACCAAAAAATATAATTTAGGTGAAGAGGTGAGATTTCACCTGTTTTTTCACCTGTTTTTTCACCCTCTTGAATTTTCATGAATTTTTATATATTAATGTTTTCGTTAAGCCACTTTGTGCCGTCAGTCAGTCAGTCAGTCAGTTTAGGAAAGACTTTAGAAAGTTGTTGGAAAATAAGTCCTGGGAAGTATTATAAGGCATTTTGTGAAGAATATAGCAACCGCCGGAATTCAGACGGTTGCTTTTTATACAAAATTCATGCAGGAAATTCTTGAGTTTTGGTTGAAAGAATACGGTGGAGCCAAAAGTGGCTCGACCTCAAAACAAGCATTTTATGAGCTTACTAAGGGCGTTATAAATGAATTCAAAGGTATTTACATACATCCTGACCTCGTTCATTTTGTTGCTGAATTCAGCAAAAATATAATTTAGGTGAAGAGGTGAGATTTCACCTCTTTTTTCACCTGTTTTTTCACCCTCTTGAATTTTCATGAATTTTCCCGAAATAAAAAATAAAGTTAGTTTTATTTTTATTTATTTTTTTATTTTGTATGTAAGAACAGAAATGTCAACAATCGGCACAACAACAATTCAAACAACAGCACCAAACTCGTTAGTCATGAATCCAACATCTATGTTAGTAGAAATGAAAAGCTTCATTCCTACTTTCGAAACAGAAATACAAAGAATAAAGCAGGAACTTTTAACAAGTAATTTAGACTGTACCGCACAGGATGAAACAAATGAACAGTATCTTTATGAAATGGAGGACCTCATCGACCATTTGCCTAAACTACCTGAAATCCAACAGCAAAAACTAACTATTCCTGAATTCGACGAAATTGAAGTCAAAGCAACTGACTCAGTAGAAATAAAGAAGTTCATACGAAAGGTAAATTATGAATTCCTTGGTTTTCATTGCAACCATAAAGTTATGGACAAAGATTGCGACATGGTATATAAGAACATCTCTGACATATATAAATCTGGGGAGTTTAAGACATACGACAACTTTGTTTCATTAGCTGCAAAATGTGTATGGCAGATAAGAGATAAAGATAGAAGAGGTAAGGTATGGGATGAACAGATAAACCCAACTGCTTCGGATTTAAAGAAAACCATTGACGCCTTGGTTGTTTTAGCAGGTAAGGTTTCAGAATATAACGCAAAAATGAACCCGCAATGTTCTAATTGTAAAGCGGCAATGAGGAGATATAACTACTCCGTCAAAGAGATAGAAAGAATGAGAAACGACTATGCAGATTTAAAGAAAGAAGCAGAGAAACCAGCAGAAAATAAAATGGACATGTTAGCATTTCTGAACAAAAACTATCCAACTGCTGACGATTTCCTTCTATCTGATGTCAAGAAGAAGTATAAAGAAACTTTCGGCATTGTTAAAACATTCGATGTACTAAAAGAAGAAATAGAAGCTACGAAACTGTTTAGGATTTCAAATATACATCGTACAATTCATGTAAAACGCTTATAAAATAACTGGGGTGAAAAATTAGGTGAAAAAGAGGTGAAATCTCACCTCTTCACCTAAAATATATTTTTGCTGAATTCAGCAACAAAATTCTGAGTAAAATAATTTTTAGGGCATGTGTCAAACCGTTGAGTTTTCACAAAATTTAAAAAATAACGTTTACCATGTGAAACGTTTATAAAATAACTGGGGTAGAAATGAGGTGAAAAAACAGGTGAAATCTCACCTCTTCACCTAAAATATATTTTTATTGAAAAATGACCAAATTTCATGAATTTCCTCATATGCTTGCTTCCCTCGGAAAACCGAGAGAAGAGATTCCGTACGAAAATCGCAAGAATTTGGCTCCTGGTTTGAAAGGATATTATGTACATAGACTTCTTGTAAATGCTGTTGCAATGTGGGCTTCACCTCTTCACCTAAATTATATTTTTATTGAATTCAGCACAAAAATCATGAATTTCCTTAAGATAGAAAAAATAAAGTTAGTTTTTTATAAAATATTTTTTTATTTTGTATGTAAAGACAGATATGTCAAACATTGAGTTTGAAACAGTTAGAAAGATAGACAATGACACCAAAGTGGTTAGAATAGGTGATTTAAACGTAAGATACTCAAAGAAATACAACAAATATTCTTTGTCAGACATTATATCTCCATCTGAAAAGAAAACAAACCACTGGGTTAGAAATGCTTCTACTCAGAAAATTTTGACAAGAAATCCTGAGCTTATGATATCGGTAAGATTCTATGGAACTGCAGCATATCTCATCGACAAAAGTCTTATACCAATAGTTTGTTTATGGTTAGACCCAGTTGTTGGATATAACTTCATAACATATGGTTCATTCGATACGGAACGTTGCAGTGAAGGCTTACTTTACATCGTTCAGAAACCGAAGGACTTCAATACAAAGAGATATAAGATAGGAAGAACATATAATATAACTCAAAGATATGACAGTACAGTCAATAGAGTCAAGGTTGTGTTTGTTAATATATGAGAGCTGCAGAAACAGAACTACTTGAAAAGTTTGAGAAAATGTATGGTGCTCCCATAAAAGGTAAAGAAACGTTTGAAGTAGATGAGATAGATAAAGCTATAAAATATTTGACGAAGTTGCTGAAAAATACATGTAAAGCGTTTATTTTTGGTCTTTTGTGAAAGTCAGAAAATAACGCTAATTTTTTTCTAACAAATTTTTTATTTGTATGTAAAGACAGTAATGTCAACAACAGAGAAACACAACAACAGTTATAGTCCATGAAGCTATAAATGAAGAATACGAGTGGGTTCAGTTTAACAAACAACTCCGTCTCATTCGTTCGGTCAAAGACGATATTGTACCAAATGCAAATTTTTTGACAGCATGTTTTGCTCCAGATACTAGAGCTTCCTAAAGACTGGTTTAGGAACCAAAGCACACAGAACTTTTGAGCGAAGCACAGCGAGACATACTTTTTTCTGAAAACAGTGAAGAACAGCGAGTAGGTAAAAAACCCCAGTCGCCAAAACTCTATGAAAATCGTGAAAAATTGCCAAACGGTTTGAGAGGTATTATTTACATAGACTTCTTGTAAATGCTGTTGCAATGTGGGCTTCGCCTCGTTATGCTTGGTATATTTACAGACTTCTTGACGAAATTCATAGACAAGAACGTGAAGAGAGGAAAACAAGCTTGAAGCAAAAGACAAAAGCATTCAGAAAGAATACCACGTTCGGTACCAAAAGGTAAGGAAAAGAACTATATGTATTGATTTATACTGAAGAGATGGAAAATGAAGAAGATAAAGATATGGTTATGTTGCATTTAGTCAGAAGAAACAACAAAAGCTTTTACGACCTTGCTAAGATTTACAAATCTGACAGAAATTAGTTCTATCGCGAAAACTTACCGATTTCAATGACCCCAAATGAAGATGTGAAACAAATAGTTCAAGATACGTTACCTCAAACACACTATGATATGAAAGGTTGTACAATACTTACCTTCAAAGAAGACTTACCGCTACTGAAAGAAAAAATAACAGAGTATTTTGACAACTTCAAACAGTAGGGTAGATGAACTCTTTATTTTTCAAGCTTGACTTTTTACAATTTGAACTTTGTTTGCGTAGATATGAATTCTGAAAGAAGTATGAGGGTCTTGTATGACTTTGTACTTCTCCCATAGTTCATGTCTGTCAAACTTACCTGCCATGGACTCTTTCATAAGTTCCATGAAATCGTCTTCGGACAATCCGGGGGAAAGTATTATGTCAGTAAGTATTCGTTTAACATCCTTACTTAAACTCTTTGCTGTCTGTACACAAATGACAACTGAAATGTTAAAGTGTCTGAGCTTCTTAAGAATTCGACACATATCTTGTTCTCTATTCTTTAACAAAGGATGAGAGGCGAAATCATCTAAGATAAGAAGACATCTATGAGGGTAAGTCTTCCAATCGTAAGATTGCAATTTCTTCGAAATGTATTCTATCTCTTTCTGTTTGTTTCTGAAGTGTTTCTTCTCTAATATTCTCTGCATTTCCTCATTTGGGTCTTAAACTTAGAATTTATATACTCATTTATAGCATTATACTTCAAAACTCTTCTTTGGTACTTCTTTATCCAATCTAACAACTCAGTATCCTTTATACATACTAACTTAGACTTCTTTATAATATCTTTGAACGAATTGACGGTTTGGTCAAATTGACCAGAAGTACTACAAATAACAACTAACTCATAGAATGGGTTCTTCTCATCTAGTTCTTGTTGTTGTGCAGCCATTTTAAGATAAGTGAAAGTCTTACCCGACCCAGGTGGTGCAATTAGACCTGTTATACCATTCTGAGCAAATAAGAACTTGTCATGTATAGGCTTTATCTGAGCATTTTCTAACTTCCTCTTGTTCTTGTTTAAAACATTCTCAAATTTCTTGTCAATGTCAGCAAACTTTTTTTCTAACATATTTTTAGAAAAATTAAAATTTTTATCTTTTAGAAAATGTCTAGCGATTTCGCTATCTATATTCGAGACAAGCTTTTCGACAGCAAAACATCTGTCGACCATAAAATCTTACATAGTGTAAACAAGAAAGGTGAATTTGTTCTAAAGTTCTGTTTCTGGAATATGACAAGAACCATAAAACATTACAAAGAGCAGTCTTAAAATTTGTCAATGACAGACTTGTTGACAGAGATGACACCGATTGGAAAGATGAAGTCCAACAAAAGTTCTTAGAATGCAAAGAAGACACATGCGCTGTTTTGAAGATGAAATAGAAAACAGAATTGATGAGCTATTAAAGGACAAAGAACTTTTACATAAATATGGTTCTGAGAAATTTGACATATCTCCACCAGAAAAGAAGAAGAGAGAAAAGAAAGAAAAGAAAGTAGAAGAAGAGAAGAAAGAACCTGAACCAGTTCCAGAGAAAAGAAATTTGACATGTAAAAATAAAATTTTATTTTTAGAACATTTCTGGGTCAATGTCAATGTTCTCTTCCTCTTTAGGAGTAAACACTGGCTTAGACTCTAAAATCTTTTACCCAACTTACCTTGAACTTCAACTATCTTAGACTCATAATATTCATAGTCGTCTGCTTTCTTTGGTTCATAAGGTATAACAAGTTTGTATGCTTTACCTTCTTCGAGTTTTGAGAACTTTCTGTCAAAATTTTCTTTGACTGTCAACATACCGTCAATGTATAAGTCTTCAAAAGTTGCACCACTTTTTCTAACAACAGCAAACTTAACTGGTACAATGTTCCAAATTTTGTCAAATGTAGACTTTTCAAAATTGTAGAAGTAAACATTCAAATATGCGAATGGAGCTAACTTATCTTTGACTTCTGTCATGTACTTATTTACTGAGATGAATTTTGCCATCTTTTCTATCGGATAAAAAAATATTTTTTTAAAAAATTTACTCAGAAAAATTTTTCTTTGTATATACACCATTCTGAACATCTAAAAGACCTTTGACATTTGCCAAGAATGTTCGTTTAGAAGCTGCCATATAACCATATTCTTGACAATATTGTTTATATAAATCATATAAAGACCTTTCATCTAATGACACAAAGTCGCTTTCTTCTATGAACAGTTCATATACACTCTTGTTTGCTTCTAACAATGTTTGTCTCTCTTCGGTATGTGGAATTTGTCTTGGATTGAACTTAGAAATATCTAATGTCATGAAATATGAGAACAAGTGGTTGTAAAAGTCAGATGTCAAAGTTTCTGCTAAGTCGTCAAAATATTCTGTATCTTGCATATGAGCTTCTGACGTTCTGACAACTACATATCTTCTGTCAGAACTTTCTAACTTCATCGGAACAACATTGTTTGAAACCATAATGAAGTTTGCAACATTTTCACAAACTCTTTGGTCTTTATACTTTCTTTCAACAACTCCAACTTTGTCTGTTATAAGACTCTTCAAAGCATCTGAGTTCAAAACTTTTGTTGTATCTATACTTTGAAGTTCATTGCAAACTATAAGTTTCATATTCTCTATTGAGGAGTTAAATTTACCGCAGATGTTTTCTAAGTTTGTCCTATTCGGATTCGAATAACCTTCTAACAGTTTGCACAAAATATCTGTAAAGAAAGTATTCTTACCTGTTCCTTGTTTTCCAATTATAATGAGAGCAGTTTCATTTTTAGCACTTGGATGTTGTAAGATGTTTGCAAACCAACATAAGATATACTCATAAACCTTTTCGTTTCCATTGCATATAATTTCTTTGACATGGTCTAACCAAGCTTCTATAATACTGTGTTTCCATTCTACTTGTTCATATTTATATCCAGTGAAGATAGAATAGAAGTTTGGAGAAGGTGTATAGAACTTTATACCTCGAACTGAAAAATCTTCTAACTTTGACAATAAGATATCCCAAGCATCTAACATCTTCATGCCAACTTGTACGACTTTTATTTTCTTAAGTTTCTGTCTACATTCTTGTTCAGACACTATTGTTGCTCTTGGTTTGTTAAAGACAACATCCCATTCTTTCATGACATAACATTCTGGGGCAGAGTCAACATAAAATGACTAAACGTTTCAAATTCTCGACTGCTTTGTTATAGTCTCTAAATGGACACATATTTCTGAATGCTTGGAAGTCATAAAAATCTGAAACATCTATTCTGTACATTTTTATAAAAATAAAAAAAATATTTTTTTTATTCTTGACTTTGTTGTTGCATTTGTTGTTCTTGAGCTATTTGTTGTTGAAGTTGTTCTTGTAATACAATACTTTCACCAGTTGCATCTTCCAATTCGAAACTTTCTGCCGTCATTGACAAATACATAGGACATAAAAGTTTTACAGGAACAAAGTTTGCGTCAACTAATGTCAACGTTATACTTGCCAAAGTGTTTGAGTTCACTAAGGTTGAAAATTCTGCATTCGAATGAACAATAGGCAAACCAGCAGAGAAAGTATTGTTTATACGCATAAGTATTTTTGGTCATAATAGTTTCTGTCGACATTCGAATAACACTTTGAACCTAAGTTTGAAACAATATATAAGATTGGTGTGCTTAATGTCAATGGAATAGACATTCCTTGTATGACACCTTTTCCTGTTATAGGAAACTGTTGGTAGTAAAAACCAGAAATAAGTTTTGTATTATAGCTCATATCGTTTATAGTAAACTCAGTCGGACATCCAAACATAATGAAACCTGCTCTAGTTGCAGCACATGTTACACCCGTACTTAAAGTATTAAATAAGTCAACAAAACCTGTTGGTGGTATATCTGAGTAAGTATCTTCAAAGGAGTATTTTTTACCATTCACAACAATAAAGTCTTCTGGTGTCAAAAGAGCAAAACAGGCTTTAGTCGTCATTGTGTTTAAGGTTAGTTTACAATATCGTCCTTGAGGACTTTGTAAGTTTGTTGTTATAGAATTATATGACTCAGGGTTTTTAGTCGTAATAGTATAAACCATTATGTCTTCTGCCATTTACTTAGCAAATAAATTTTAATGAAATGTTGTGGTCGTCAAATATTTTTATAACGTCTGGGAAACTATATTTTAAGTTCAACGTTTCACCTCCTTTCATAACGTATATCTTGTCAATGACATTATATGAAACACCACAGCAACTAATGTCGGGTTCTATTTCTTTGATGTTTATATCGTCTGCCTCTGTCAAAAGTTTCAATAGTTCTTTCAAAACTTCATGAGGTGCAATGACATATGAGTTCACTTTTACAGGGTTGTGTTCGACCAAGTTTAACATTATACTTAAAGCTTGACAAATCTTCTCCTGAGTTTGAAGTTTGTCTTTCAGTTGTTGGTAGTCGTTTCGAATATCTGCAACAGAACTTAAGTCTCTGTTAACTTCAGGATATGTTGGTTCTTTTACAGGAACAATTGTTATACCATCTTCGTCTTCGTATGGTTTCCCCACTTCAACATCTCTGTCTTTGACATTGACAACAGCACTTTGACTGTTTGTTTGAGTTGGTGAATTTAACTTCACATCTGCCACCGCCATTAAACCTTTTGAAACACTTACGCTTCTATTTTTCGGAAATGACATTTTACTTAGAATAAAAAGATGGACGTATTCGGATATCTTATTGAATTGAAGCAGAACAAAGTTTATACTCACAAACAATACAAATACATTGACAGAATAGTTCTTTACACAAACAATGGTAAATGTTATAGAATAGCAATATTTGCTGAACCAAAATATTTTCATAAAGCAAAGAAAGTTGGTATAACTGAAATGGTGAAAGTTCTTGAAGCAGACAAAAATATAACTTCAAAACTTACAGATATTACTAAAGGAAAGTTTATAATACAATATTATGTCAAAACTGGCGTACTGTCAATATTTGACGGAGAGAAGTCAGTTCAAGAACAACTTACTGACCTGCTGCCAAAATCTGCTCGATGGAAGCTGTCGTTATGCCAATCTGAGGAGCCCCAGCAGGTTTCATCGAACGAATCTTCAAAAGAGCATCTTCCGTGAAAAGTGCTATTGGTTTTGTAAACTTCTTTGCTTTCAATTCATCTGGGCCGTCTCTGTCACCAGTATATTGTATTTGAACTGTACCAACAGTTGAAATACCACCCATAAAGTCTTCTGAGTCAGCAAATGGAATGCCAAGCCAAAAGTTTGAACGGTCTCCATTTGTATATTGAGTTTTTTGACCTCCTGTATGAGTCCATACTTTCACATATGGCATAATAGAACTTTGCATTTCAGGGTTAATGGTTGTTGTGAAGTTGTTGTTAAAGTTCATAGCATCTAATGTCAAGTTGTATGACCTCATATCCTCAACTGTAGAATATTCTTCTCTTGGATAATATTTGCCATCTATGTTTATATGATATTTAATACCAGGGTTGTAGAAACAAGAATAGTCATTTATAGTTCGTCTGAACAGTACAAACATAGTATCTGCATGTTTCATTGCAGTTGTTAAAGCAATATCTGTTCTTGCACCTTCGGCTCCTGGATTTTGGTTTCCAACTTCACCTGCAAAGTCTTTGACAGATATTTGGTGTATAGGGAACATAAGTGGAACTGCAATATATTTGGCAGCTAAAGCATTTGAAATATCTGGGTCCAACATATAGACTGCAAGTCTGCTTTCTATTCTCTTGCATTCAAACTGTTCGCATGTAAACTTAACTGGGTCCCAAGCAGTTCCAGCAGCATTGAAATAATAGTTTACTTCATTGTTGAAGTTTGAGAAACCAAAGTCTAAGTCAACTTTGTCTTTGCAAAATTCGGCGAATGACGTTTGATTTGTTCCCTTTACGTCTGTAATAGTGAATGGGTCTTGTGTTGGTGCAATGACTAAGTTATTTTTGCTTGGAGTAAGTTCAATAGAAATTTTTCCTGCCCAGTTTGGTAAGTATCTTAAAAACCTGAAGATGAGGAAAGATGACAAAGGAACTCTAAGTTTCAGTTTTACTTTAGTGGCAGCAGTTCCATCTGAACCAGAAAGGTTAACATAAACTCCTGGAACGTTAGGGTCAAGTCTTCTTATTTTTTCAATACTTGCATACTGGTCTGTTTGTTCTCTAGCTTGTGGTTGTACTGAGTTTCTCAAAGCGAACCATTCATAGTTTGCCCATGTTACTGTTTGAACTAAGTCAGAGTTAGAATATATCTTATATCCCATGAAAACTTCTGGAGCATATTGGTATCCGACATAGAAAATTCCATTGCAACCTTTCTTGTCAGACAACTTGGCAGAAGGTTTTATTTCAATGTCTTGTTCCACGTATAAGAATGAGTTGTCAATAGAAATAATGTGAAACCTGTCGCAAGCAATATCTACTGTTGTTGAAGAACCTTCTCCAAACTCACCTACATTTCCATAAGAAACAGCAGTTGTATATTCGTAAGTTCCAGGAACTATTTCTGACCTTCTAATGGCATTGTCGCATTCGTTATACCATTCGGAAACATTTCCGTTCATGGCATCCAAAACTGTTGGCGTTATATTCTGAGCGGCGTACATTTCATATGGGTAAAAATATAGAATAGTTGGATTTATGTGTCATAATAGAACCCACTCGGACCAAGCTTCACTTTCTTCCTGACTGAGTTTTTAACTCTTCTTTTTCCTTCATTGCCACTACTTTCACTAGATGAAGTTACTTCTTCACTACTTTCACTTTGTTCTACTCTTCTCTTCTTCTTTGGTGTCGCTTTTGGTAACTTGCCCTCTGCTTCAAGTTGTTGCATCTTTGCCTCATGTTCACCTAGTATGTTGTAAATTTCCCATGTCCTTTTTGCCTTTGGGCTCTGGTCGCCCATCTCAGGTAACCTATATCCTAGAAAGATTTTGTCATAGTTTGTATTTGAGTCTTCGCGTATTGTTTGCATGACTCTTTCCTGAGTTTCCGGTTCAAGCTCTTCAAACAGAGCTTGTCCATATGGAATAAGCTCGTTTCCAAATATATGTTTTTGTAGCCATTCTGGTTTTCTTTCCATGTAACCAATAATATCTTTTGTGAATGGGAAAGCTTTTACCCAACGTTTCAGTCTTGCGTCATTTATTTCTGTAGTTGGTTTTATTTTGTCATGGAACATGTTTTTCAATACTAACATTTCATTTGGTACTGTCCATTTGAGTTTTCTTAAATATTCATCCCTTCTCAGTTCATTGTCTGCAAAGTAAGTTTTTATGACATTTTGTAAACTTTCGTTTGCAAGGTCATGTACAATAGGTTCTCTTCCTTCTCTCTCCCTAACTGTCTTTCTAAACTCTTCACCAAATATACCATCTCTATGGTTCTGTGTAGTTCTTTGAGATAAATGTTTTAGAACGTCAGGTGTTATATTTCCATCAGCCATGTTCATTTCATACTGGTCCAAAATATCTGCATCTTTCATATCTTTCAATGGCATTAAAGCCGCGCTGAAAATACCAGCTATATCTGGTTCACCATTCACTTCCATTGCGTCTACAACTTCTTGAATTGTGGTTGTAAGTTTATGAACCACCTATCCGGATTAGCTTTATGACCCCATCTCATTGTAGTTCCATAGTCTGCAGAAACAAAAGTAGGTTTGTTTCCATATTGGTTAGGTTCTGAATGAACTTTAAACAATGTTTCATTTCTATATGTTTTGTTGAAATTTAACCTTTTATTTTCACCGAGTTCAGCCAAAGATTGAACGTTATATGGTCGTAAGTAAAAAGGATTATTGTATTTGCGTACATTATCTTTCAGTACTTCCATTCTATGCTGAATATTTTCATCTGATGTTGGAGTCTTTTGTATGTCGGCGAACATTTTTCGATATTCTTCTACTATGTCAGCCGAATTTTTCTTAGACTCTTGGAAAGATTCCATATTCTCCGCATACACTTGTTGAGGGTCAAGATTTTTCGGCTGTTCCAAATCTTCATCTAGTTCTGTGAAGTTAGTTTCCAAAGGAGGGACTTGTTCGTTTCCTTCAGGCTCTTCTAGCTGTTGTTGCTGAACTATTTCTTCCATGTCTGGTTGTATCTGAACTTCTTCCTGTTGAGTTTCTTGTACCTCATCTGCTGGCATTTCATATATTCCGAGACCGTTTTTAAAAAGTTCCCTATCTAAGTCATCCGGACTCATAAACCTTTCTTCTTTCGTTCCGTCTCTATTTTTTACGCGTTTCATGAAGAGAGTTGAATTATCATTTAGCTCTGACACCAAATATCTCGGAGTAAATTCATTCATGTCATTTGGATGATATGCTATTAAATCATATCCCTTAGCGAGCTTGTATTTTCCAGGTTTGAGATTATATCCCATTTGGTGCTGAGCCATAAAGCTAAATAGGTTCGGGTCAGTATTTCCTTCCTTGAACTTTCTAATAGCTTCTTTATATCTGTCACTAAAGTCAAGAGTATCTGGGTAACCATAATCTTCCTTAAGCATTTTTAAGAATTCTTGGTTTCCTTTTTCTCTACTTCTTTTATGTCCTTGCTCTGTTTGTGGTTGTTGTTGTGCAGGGTTTTGAACTGTTGGTTGTTGTGCTGGTTTTGGTTGTGGTGCTGGATTTTGAACTGTTGGTTGTTGTTGTTGTGCTGGTTGTTGTTGTTGTGCTGGATTTTGAACTGTTGGTTGCTGTGCAGGGTTTTGAACTGTTGGTTGCTGTGCAGGGTTTTGAACTGTTGGTTGCTGTGCTGGATTTTGAACTGTTGGTTTTGGTTGTTGTTGTGGTGCTGGATTTTGAACTGTTGGTTGTTGTGTTGGTTGTTGTTGTGGTGCTGGATTTTGAACTGTTGGTTGCTGTGCAGGGTTTTGAACTGTTGGTTGCTGTGCTGGATTTTGAACTGTTGGTTGTTGTGTTGGTTGTTGTGTTGGTTTTGGTGCATGCCTGTGTCTGTGTCCATGTGACGATGTAAATGTTTTAGGTAGTCCTGGTGCAGGTGCTTCTCTTGGAGGGTTTGGTGGTATATAAGTTCCACCTGCTGGCACATATGTTCCATCTGCAGCATAATGTCCTACCTGACTTTTCGTTTATAAGAAAGCATTTACTAGGTCTGTTTTGGTCTGTTGTAACTCTTTTTCTTGACTTTCCACAACAGTTGCTCTAACGGCGTCATAGGCACTTTGAACTGCCTGTCTCGTTGCTGCATCTGTTATTTTCGTCATATTTTGTGCTACTTCTCTTAACTCTTTGTCGAAACCTTCAGACTTCAGTTTCTTTCCAGATGAGAAGTCGTTCACTAGTTTCACCTTACTATGAAGAGCTTCGAAGGCATTCTTAAAGTCAGCATTCATTAAAGCTTCATTTGAACTGTCTTCATCCGCTTGTATTTTTGTCCTTATTGACCCTATAAGTTGGGCTGCTTTAGCGTTGGCTTGGGCATCTAACCAGTCATTATTAGCTTTTATATATTCTGCGCTTTTCATTGCCTTTTGCATGGCTGCGTCGTTATTTTTACTTTCTTGTGCTAAGTTTTCATACTGTACGGTTTGGTTTTGCAACTGTAAAAGTTTTTCTGCCTTTACATTTGCTTCAACTTCTTTTTTATACTCATCGCTATCCATATATGTCTTCATGGCTTTTTGTTTTATTTCTTCATCTTTCAGTACTTTATATTGAGTAGTATGGTTTTTCAAATTTATAACATCTTGTTCCATTTTTGCTACTTCTGCTGCTTTTTCTGACACTTTTTTCGCATATTCCTCTGTACTTAGTTCTTTCAGTTGTTCTTCTTTCTTCTTTTTCTCTACGTTTAACTCATTGAGTTTCTTTGTGTGTCTGTCATATTCTACTTTCTTTTCGTTTTCACTTATTTGTTTCTGTATGTCTATGTTTGACTTTTTGACATCTGTTATTTGATTTCTGAGTGAACTCAAATTCATTTGACTTTGTGGGTTATAAGCTGTTCCGTCTGCAGCTCCACCATAGCCTGCCATTTTCGCTAAAAGTGCCGCTCTTAAACCTCCACTCTGTGCACCAATAACTCGGTTTAAAAGCATAGGGTTGCTTGACATTTGTTGCAACATAGTGGGGTCATTCATCATTTGTTGTTGCAACTGTTGTTGTGGTGTCATTTTTACTATTGGATGTTTCAATGCTCCCTTCCTCTTACGTATATTCTTACGTAGCTTACGTGGCATTTTAAGTGAAGTAAAAAACGGTTTTTGACAGATGTTTATATGACACTTTTTGTTCAGCACAAAAAACTACTCGGTCAAAGTGTTGTCAGTTTTGTAAAATTGTTATATACGAAAACGATAAAAACAGTTTGACAGAAAAGTGACAACTTTACGTGTCAAAAATATAAAAAGTGATATTTTATTCATCATTATCTTCTTCATAATTTATTTCATATTCTTCGTCTTACCAACAAAAGATGGGAATGTGAACAATTGCGGGCAATTTTTAGCCATTTTGGCTTGGAACTAGAGCCTGCGAGGTACATGGATAGTATCAGTACCTCACAGGCTCTAGTTCTCTATATGGCGCCGAGAAATTTTGGTGAAATGTGGTCGCATTTCACCAAAATTTTTTCGGCGCCATAGGATGAATTGGAGGGTGAGAGATATTATTTCATACAATACTACTCTCACCCTCCAATTCCCAGCCAAAATGGCTAAAAATTGCCCGCAATGTGAACAATTGCGGGCAATTTTTAGCCATTTTGGCTTGGAACTAGAGCCTGCGAGGTACATGGATAGTATCAGTACCTCACAGGCTCTAGTTCTCTATATGGCGCGAGAAATTTTGGTGAAATGTGGTCGCATTTCACCAAAATTTTTTCGGCGCCATAGGATGAATTGGAGGGTGAGAAATATTATTTCATACAATACTACTCTCACCCTCAATTTTAATTACTTAAACTCATTCTATTTTTTTGACATGTAAATGTCACTTTTACTGAGATCTGACACAATGTCAGATCTCTTTTTTTCGTATATAAGAAAATAACCGTCCTATCTCATTCTATAAGGGGGAAAAGGCTTCTCAAAGTATACTTCCTTGGAACGCCTGTAACTTTTCCTGTCGCGACGATAGACCCTTACTTGTCCGGACAAAGTTATACTATTTTGAGTGCTCTACAAAAAAGTCACCGGCTGGTCGGCTGGGGTTCGGTCCTCCTCTTGGGTCTTGGGAAAAATTTCTTATGGGCTAGAGGGCGCAACGCGCCTGGAAGCCCTCCGAATATAAACTTCATTTATACTAAACATCTTCAGGGCTAGAGGGCGCAACGCGCCTGGAAGCCCCACTACCTTTTTTTTTCTTTTTTTAATTTTACATATAAGAAATAAGACAAGTGAGTATTCCAAATCAACTCTTACCCCTGATAAATTCAATTTTTTTGTCAATTTTATAAACAGAAACTTCGATTTTCCTTTGCCTAAAATATGACTGAATCAGACAACAACTCTGAAAATGAGTTGGATTCACCAAACACCAAGTCGGTGCCAGCCAAAATTAAGCGAACTGGAAATAGAAACCGAAATAAAAATGGAAATAATTCTTCTTCCGATCAAAATGCGGCAAAATCAAACGGATATTCCGAGGAAGCATCAGATTATTATTCTGATAATCCATATTATTACTCGGATGATGTAAGTTCGGGTAATCAATCTTCCATGTCTAAAGGTAACCCGATCGAGTCACTTTACAATGAAAGAGGTGAATTTATAGCCATACGTGAGAAGAAAATTGATAAAATTTTATCACACCGTTATGAACAAGATAAAAGTGTATCATTTTTAGTCAAATACGTAGGAAAAGCATACAAACATTCAGAATGGATACACGAACCAAAAGATATAAACAACCAGAACAAAATCAAGAAATATTTTGCACGAAATCCATTGAATCCGCCATCACAACCATATTATCCTCCAAAATACGATATACCAGAGAAAATTCTTGCTCACAGGACAGTTGACGGCAAGAGCGAATATTTAGTTCTCTGGACAGATCTAGATAGAGAAGATGCAACTTGGGAAGATGAAAATTCTCTTGATTGTAAGGACTTGATAAGCGAATATAATACACCTCCTCCTGCTGACGAATGTCAGAATCGTCCAAAGGGACCACTCTCGGACTTCAAACCAGTTTCTGTGGCTCCAAAATCGAAATCTGGAAAAGTTTTATACAAATACCAGCTTGATGGCTTGAACTTTTTAATACATTCTTGGTTTAAAAATAACAATGCCATCATCGCCGATGAAATGGGACTTGGAAAAACAGCACAAGTCTCAACTTTCTTGGATTTCTTGAACAAATCACAAAAAATATTCGGACCATTCCTTATAGTTGTTCCGTTAAGTACATTGGACCATTGGTATAGAGAATTAACAGATTGGACGGATCTTAAAGTTTTAATTTTAAGAGGAACAAAAATTGAGCGACAGTTAATATTTGAAAACGAATTATACTACGAAGGGACAGAAATCCCTCGATTCCAAATAATGCTAACTACAGGAGAAATCGCGTTAAAAAGCAAAACAGTTTTTGAGCAATTCGAATGGCAAGTTCTCGTTTTCGATGAAGCACATCGTCTAAAAAGTCATACTTCGAAGCTACTTCTTGCTGTAAAAGAATTTAAATCTCAATATAAAGTTTTGATGACGGGAACTCCACTTCAAAACAACATCGGCGAGCTTTTTACACTTCTTAATTTCATTGACCCTCAACTTTTCGATGATCGTACAAAGTTTTCCGAATCATTTGCAGATTTGAGTGAAAAGAAGCAAATTGTAGAGCTAAAAGAACTCATAGAACCATTCATGCTTCGAAGACTTAAAGGAGATGTCGAGAAAAAGCTTATTCCCCTTGAAGAAATCATTATTGAATGCGGAATGACGAAATCTCAACGGGAATACTACAGAGCCGTATTCACAAAAAATCAGGAATTCCTTACAAGATGCGAAAAACGTCGTTTGGCCAATTTGAATAACATATCAATGGAATTAAGGAAAGTTTGCAACCATCCTTACTTGATAACAGGAGCGGAAGACGCTATTCTTATAGAAAAAATGCAACAGCTTGGTCTAAAAGAGAGAACAAACGAATTCGAACTTGAAACTCTAATTAGAACCTCAGGAAAGCTGATTTTGGTTGATAAACTACTGGCAAATCTCAAAAAGGAAGGCCACAGAGTACTTATTTTCAGTCAAATGACGAAAATGCTGGATTTATTACAAGATATGTTGACATATCGCAATTATAAATACAGAAGAATTGATGGAACAGTACGTGGTAAAGACAGGCAGGCCTCAATTGATGATTTCCAGGAACAAGAAGATATATTTGTATTTTTACTCTGTACAAGGGCCGGAGGTGTCGGAATTAACCTGACATCTGCTGATAGATGCATCATTTATGATAGTGATTGGAATCCGCAGAACGATATTCAAGCAACAGCGAGATGTCATCGAATTGGACAGACAAAAGAGGTCAAAATGTACAGACTTATCACGAAGAACTCATATGAGAGGTCAATGTTCGATACTGCATCAAAGAAACTCGGTTTGGACAAAGCAATTTTGGAAAATGATACAGAACACAAAGATGCGAAAGAACTTGAAAAAATGATTAAAATAGGAGCATACCATGCTTTTGAAGATGATGAAAATGCAAACGAAATAAACGAAGACGAAGATATAAACGCGATTATCGAAAGATCCGAAAAACACATTCACGATCCAAGTTCTGGCCAGTCATTCTCAAAAATTCAGTTTAATATCACAGAAAAAGAAGAAGACACAAAAATTTTCGATGATCCGAATTTTTGGAAGAAATATTTGGGAGAAACACCCGAACAGAACCCAGAAACAGATATAATGCCAGAGAGAAGACTAAAGAAGACTCAGAGCACTGATTTCGTTGACATGACGTCAGATTCAGATAATGAAGAGGAATCAAACGAATCTTATGAGACAGATAACTCAGATGTAGATGATAACCACGAACCAGTCAATAAAAAAGTCTTTGGAGCGTGGACAAGAAAAGTTACAAGTGCATTTATAGTTTTTTTGACGAAATTTGGTTTTTCACGCAGCCCAGAGTTTTTACAGGAATACCAACTCGAAATGCGATCAGGAGAGATCATGTCTGTCGCTAAAATTTTCTGTAAATGGATGATAAAAAGTTTGAATGCAGAAAATGTCACTTTTCCTGCAGTTGAAAGGTTTATCAAAGACAAAATTGATAATTTCGAATTAGGTTTCGACCGCTACAAAAACGATTCTTTGCTACAAACGGTTACTCACAATGCAAAAAACCGTTTGACAAAAATTCAAACAGCAGAATATGTTTATCAATTATGTTCAACTGCATCAGGATTAGATGATATTTGCTGTCCAGATATCAAACCAACAGTAAATGAAAAGTGGTCGGTTCACGACGATAGAATTTTACTGAAACTCACATGGGAACTCGGTTTAGGCGAAGTAACAAACGAGCAGATCATAAATATAAGGAAATCCCTCAATAGAGAGAGCAGAGAAGATGAAATCGTGAATACATATGACTTAACGGAGCGTGTAAGACAGATTATACAGAGAATCATGACGATGTTTAACAATTTCAAGTCAAGACAGAGCGGATATAACTTAACTTTTAATAATACAACGGCAAAACGATCATTAGAGCAGCTTAATATCCAGGAACACAGAAGGATCATCGAGTTGCTTGAAGATATTGGTATTGTTAATCGAAATCTGTTCTTCGAAAGACTTGGACCTGTTAAAAACCCAGAAGACCACTACAAGTACGCGGAAAGGATTGTTCACGAGTGCAAGGCTCTCATGGATCTCCAGGAAGTCAACCAGGAAGCTTATCCGGAGAGACTCTGCGTTTCTGCCGCAAAAACTATTTTCATAACCGATAGAATTATGGCAGAAATTCAGATTTGTCTTGCAGAAAATAAATTGACAACAGAAAGAAGAGAAGTTTCCAGAATCATCTTCGAAAATGGTTTTCAATTGGCCATTACAAATCCTATCGTTCAGAAATTTATGATGCCTCAGAAATTTTGTGTAGAAACTTTACACGCGTTAATGATGAAAGCATTGTCATTGGATCATATTTTGCAAGCAAGAGAAAATACCACTTCCATGCATGTTTTTGTGAACCACTTAGAAAATTCTGAACCCAAAGAAATTCAAAGCGAAGAAAATATTCAAACTGTTGTAAAAGAAGGTCATCAGAGGAAGGCGAAGTCTGCCGCAGCACGAAAAGTGTTAAGAGAAGAACTGCAAAAGCAGAAACAGCTAAAAATCAAAACAAAAACCGATGAAAATGAAAAAGAAGATGATAATTTGTTTGACGAGTCAGGAAAGCCAAGATTACCAATGCATATCGGTACATGTCTCGTTATTGTTAACCTTGGTGAGATTGTTTACGACAGAGATGGTTATCATAACGAAAGATACGCATATCCCGTCGGATTCCTCAGCGAACACTTATTTAGCTCCCCAACAGATCCGAAAAAAAGAGTTTGGTATCAGTCGATGATTCTTGATGGCGGAGAAAGGCCAATTTTCAGAGTCAGAGTCAAAGACGACCCAGACACTTTTTACGACGGAAACGTTCCATCCAATCCATGGCTAAATGCGATTCGCGTTGTAGAGAACAGGAAACGACAGCTTGGCTTGAATTGTTGCAAGAATATTTCGGTTTCTGGACCCGGATACTTTGGTTTGTCAGCTCCACAGGTCATGAAAATGATCCTGAAGCTGCCGAACATCGAAAAACTAAAAAAACTCAACAGAGCTGATCCGAATGAAGTTGATCTTCCTCGCAAAGCCCACGTGAAGACTTCAGAGCCAAAGATGAAGATCAACAAAAATTCTAAGCTCTCTCCTTCCATACAAAACGCTCTCCACAAGATGAATTTGGATAATCGAAGAGCTCCTTCTCCTCCGTCCACTCCTCCACCCCCTCCACCTCGTCCAACGCCTGCACAAGTCTCCCAGACCGTTAAAAACCAACAAAAACCGAAAAGAACTTATACTCATCGGAAACCACGCCAAATACAGACTTCTTCGCATCTGGACAGCGACGATGCAGAAGTTATTGGTTCTATCATTGTAGATAATGAATTTGAACCAAGCGCCGTGATGACTCCGGAAAATTCAAGTTCTGAAAGCGAAAGTGACAAAGAATTCAAAGATCCAGTAATAGAAAGACAGATTTCGACTGTTCAAGGCCTCAAATCCGATTTCTCGAAGCTTATTAAATCTCATCTGTCAAGTGAGATCCATATTACGTTACCAAGTGATGTTTCCAACATATTAGAAGTATTAGATAATTGTTCATTTTAATTTTGTTTATTTTATAATATATTATATATTTTATTTTTGTCTATATTATAAAATATATAAAATTAGATATTATTTATTATAAAGAACACCATTTTTAATCTTTTGGTATTATAATGAACCAATACAAATGATTTGATTTTGATCATTTTTCCAAAATAATTTTGATCAATTAATTCTTTTTCATTATTTGAAATTGATGTATATTTTGCAATTATATTTGACATCATGGAGCAAATATCGAAGGAGTTGCATGATATATCATTTACAGCTAACAATAAAATATTGATTATTTGCCAAAGTCTTACAATATAAATATCTCAATTTGGAGTTCAACAATTTGTAAATCTCTGAAATTTGTGTTCAAATTTTTGCATATCATACAATTTTTTTGAGAAGAGATGCACCAATGTCAAATTTTTTCATTTTATTTTTAAATGATAGGTACAGTTGCTATCCCAGGAAAAGATCAGCAACTAACATATAATTCTGTTAGTATTGAAGGTGAACAGTATGATACACTTCTTTCTTTTTCGATTCTTCAAGAATTGATCAACTTGACAGGTGATAATGCCGAAATTGTTTATTGTTTTCCAAATGAATTTCATTTCTGCACATTTGACGCTACATTTATTGTTGATGGATGCACTATTAAACCAAAAATTCGAAGTTCTGAAGAAGCCCAAAAAGAATTTGATGAAGCTACCAAAAATGGTTTTCGTGCAATTCTCGGCGAAAACATTGGAAATGGACTTAATCCTTTCCATTTAGGAAATCTACCTTCAGGCAAAATCGTTCAAGTTTTGCTCAAAGTTTCATTCTTAGCTGATATCAATGATAATAGTTACTTCTTTAAGTTCCCATTGCTGTCCGCTATCAAAAAGGAGTTGCTACAACTACGTATTCAGACATACCTGATTCATTTTTCTTTTCATTAAAAATAAAGACAACAAAGGAAATTGCAGACATCATTGCCTCAGAAGAAGGAGATATTATAATCAAAGATCCTCATAATGCAACATTTGAAACAAAAACCTTTCCGGAAAAAGATTCTTTTGTAATAGAAACAAAAATTAAAGATGAAGATAAGAATATTGCAGTTTATTCAGATGGCTACATTGCAGCTTCAATAAACTATTCTTTCAGAGGAGATGAGATCATTAATTCGGAGTTTTACTTCATTGTTGACTGCTCGGGCTCAATGTTGGGCGCTAGAATTAAAAATGCAAAATAATGCATGAAACTTTTCATTCAATCTCTTCCAATGAATTGTAGATTTTCTATAATCAAGTTCGATGATTCATATGAAATTGTTATGGAACCATGCGATTACAATGATGATAATGTTCATGAAGCAATGGAAAAAATCAGCCATATTGATGCCGATTATAAAGGAACTGATATTTTGAAAACGTTAAATTTCGTTTTCGGATTAAAACCACAAGATGGTTTTGTAAAACAAATATTCTTATTAACTGATGGCGAAGATAGAAATTCAGATAAAATTTGTGCAGAAGCTCAGATGAATAGAAACCAAACACGAATTTTTAGCATCGGATTAGGAGATGGTGCGGATCCAGGTCTCATTAAAGGAGTTGCAGATAAGAGTGGAGGAAGCTATACTTTGATCACAGATGAAGAAAATATGAATGAACAAGTCATTTTAATGCTCAGCTCTGCAATTTCTCCATCAATAACTGACATTTCAATTCAAGGTGAAAGTGGATTTGAAGAAATCTGGCCTTCTCCATTTCCATTTCTATTTTCAAATAAATCTCAATCATTTATGATCAAAGGACCTTTCTCCGAAAATATTTTGCTTAGTGGAAATTTATGTGGCGAGCAAATCGACATTGTTATTCCAGTGACAAGGATTGAAGATAATTTGGGAATGAAGCAGCTTTTCAGTAGAAGTATTATTGCTGATTATGAAGCCCAGTATTTATATAAAAATGAACCAGATATAAAGAACAAAATCATTGAGCTTTCTCTCAAAGCATCTATACTTTCTAAATTTACGTCATTTATTGGCGTTGATTTCTTTAAATATGAACAAAGAGCAAGAAAATACTTTACTTCTAAATGTGGAAAACATGGGTATGCAAAGAAATACTACATTGATGAATTCACAGGCAAACCAGTTTATACTAATATCGACCACAAAAGTAGTTCACATAAAGATTACGACCCAGTTTACTCAATTGATGAAATGCTATATGATAAGATTAAAGACCAAAAAGTTAATGGCTCTTGGACTGATTTTGAAGGAGTTGATGCAGATATTGAAGCTGCATACGGTCACATAATAGTTTCAACAATTGCTGCAATTGTTTTCATTAAAACACATTTTGAAAACAATATGATCGAATTCTCATTAATCATCAAGAAGGCTTTCAAGTTCTTGATGACACAGAACAAAGATATTGACTGGGAAGGTATAGTTGACAAATTACTTCATAAATAAACATTTATATTAAAAATTATCAAAATTAAGGCATTTTTTCAGGCTCATTTATAAATTATACCATTAACATCGATTAGATAAATAGCTTATTTAGACAAGTTTATATAAATTAAGAATCTTTAGTTAAAATTACACTATTTATTAATACAAGATAAAATTAAATGAATAAGATAGATTTTGTATTAGTTAATCTAAGAAATATTTTGAATTTCTAGATAAAATTTTAAAAAATGAAGCAATCATTATAAGTAACATTAGGGAGTGTAAACAGTTGGAAATTACATAGTAATGGAGTGGAGAAAGTGATATTAATATTTCGATCACTCGAATAATAATTTGTAATTGCGCCTTTATCTGAAAGAGATGGATCGCATCCGTATTTAATATTTATCTTCCTATTGTTAGACGTATCTGTAGCATTCCATGTTGTAAGTAATGTGTTATTATCAAGTTCAAAATGCTCTTTATTGTATTTACCGAGAACTTGAACAAATTTTTCAGAAGAAACTTCGGCGACATTATTAAAATGCCTTAAATTAATTGAGTATTCTGATAATGAAAAATGATGAACTGTTTCTTTTCCACTATATTCGTTATAAAGTAGGTTTTCGGCATCAAATATTTCATCCAAGCTAGGACCTGATTTTCTATTTCTTAAGTAACATTTATATAAATGTCCATTCATTGCAATCGAAGTATTTCTTAATGATTCTTGTTCAGCCCGCCTGGGTGCTGTGGTATTATGAAATAAAGTGATAAGATTATAGTCTAATTTAATTGTTGCTAATATGAATAAAATCATATTGAATTTGACCAAATAAAAAAATAAATAGATAATCTTCCATAACTTATAAATTTAGTTAGAAAACATATTAATTAACTACTTAACGGCATAAATTAAAATTATATTGATTGAAAATATATTGATTCAGATGAATTAGCGATTCTGTGCTTATCTCTCTTCATTTAGTTTGCGTGAACTTATATTATGCAATTGCACGACTAAATTCGTGCTTAATTGCCTTTCAAGAATTGCAATTCATAAAAATCAAGATATCTTTTGAGTAAATCGATTTTTAGTAAGATATCAGATAGTGTAAATAGCCGTGATTTTAAGTTCTTTTCTAAGCATGACAGATTTCGAATTTTTTGTTCGAAATTGATTCAGATATTTCAAATTGATCATAATAACGGACATTGATAGCTTTTAACAGTTATTAAGAATTATTTTAATGTATGAGCTTATTTATAATCAGTGAAATTGTATATTATCTGAAAATTTGAATTACATTTAAATTTTTACATTCGTGAAATATATCAAACTTAATGGTAATATATTAAAAACATTTTGAATACCATATAAGATTTTGAGAAGAAAATCTAACTGCAATTTTGATAATACTCATTGAAAAGTTAAAACGCTGTAATATTCACAAAATTTTGATTGAGATAATAAAGCAAAATTCGATATATATAATATTTTTAAAATAATTTTAGTTAAAAAAAAATTCAGAAGGAAGGTAGATAGAAAACAAAATTATCGAATAAATACTAAAAATATTTATTTAAGCATCTTATTTCGTTAAAAAGTATTCTTTCAAACTTTTCAATAAATATTCCATTCAATTTTCATTTAAGAAAATTTACAATATACACATATTTGTCTTATAATTATCAATAAAATATTTTCCGGTTTTATTAAAATTATGAAAATTATTTCAACTATGTAGTTCATGCATCGCTGTACAAAACTATCTAAAAATTAATTCAGTCTATTTAATTATTCAATATATCATCTCAATTTTACAGTCACATAAAATATTGATGAATTCTATATTACTATTAACTATACTAAATTTAATTCTCAAATTAATAAATTCAATTAGTATTTTTTCAATGTGCGAATTACCTACCTTTGTGCTTAGTACCTACAATCAAGTATTCATGCTAACTGAAGAATCAATCACTGATTTAGGAGACAGTGTCCTTATTCCAAGACTCCCAATGAACGAACTTTTACAATTGAATTCAGAGGTCATACATAGATTATCAAATAAGAGAGCAGTGGAGTATATTTCCGGACCCGTTGCAATGATTGGAGATATACACGGCAATTTACGCGAATTAATCAGAGCTTTTATTGTGAATGGAATGCTACCTAAGACCAAATATGTATTTCTCGGTGATTATGTAGATAGGAATGAGTTCTCAGTAGAAGTTATCACACTTTTATTCTCATTATATTGTCTTTACCCCGAACATATTGTTTTACTTCGTGGAAATCATGAATGTAGATCTACAAATGCAAATTATGGTTTCAAACAGCAAGTTTTAGATTTTTATCACAGCGAAGATCTATGGGAATCCTTTAATTCTGTCTTTGATTATTTGCCCATAGCCGCTGTCGTAAACAACACATATTTTTGCGTCCACGGTGGTATATCACCATCAATAACATCAGTCGAAAAGTTAGCTTCGCACACACTCCCGATATATCATGTTTCGGAAAGGGCTTCAGAGGTCAATCGATTACATATGGAACTTACGCAGCTTTCGACTTCTTATCAAATAATGGATTATCAGCTATAATTCGTGGTCATGAGAAAGTCAATGCAATTAAAGAAGACTTCCAAGGAAAGTGCATTACTATATATAGTACATCTGTTCCAACTCAAGGTCCCGATCAAATTGGATATTATTACATAGATGAGAACTTTGGAATTCATAAGAGAGCGAGGGCAGCACTTCCTTTCATTACATATGAAGATGCTAACTTTTTCATGGCATTAAGACCAAGGAATAGGCCATTATTACCTTTAATTTCGATGACTTCGAAGAAAATCATCAAACCAAATATTTTAACATCCAAGAAAGAACAACCATTATCTAGGATGAAACGTGGAGGAAGCCTTTATCAATTCCAAACAATTTCTTTGATATGATTTTTTGATCTGTCTATTATTATATTAGTTTGTTTGTGTTTTTGTTTGATTGTACTTAAATTGTGTTATATTTTTCAACAGCATTCCTCGGAATGTTTGATTTTCTTCTGTGAAATTTTATTTTACTGTAAATTGAGAAAGGGACAGACTAGCCCATTGTCACTTTTTAATTTAGCAAATGAACGCTTATGGAGTGGAGTTTTTGGGTAAATCTGATTTGCTTATAAATGAAATAAAATCAAAAGAAACCATATTGGCATTATATTATGCAAAAATAAATGATCTTACTTAGTACTTTTAAAGTTAATTTCAGAAAAAATTTGACACAATGGTATCCGGCACATACAAGTGGTGTACAACCAAAATATAAGTTGGTTTAAACATATATTGCTATATCTCATGATCTTACTTAGTACTTTTAAAGTTAATTTCAGAAAAAATTTGACACAATGGTATCCGGCACATACAAGTGGTGTACAACCAAAATATAAGTTGGTTTAAACATATATTGCTATATCTCATGATCTTACTTAGTACTTTTAAAGTTAATTTCAGAAAAAATTTGACACAATGGTATCCGGCACATACAAGTGGTGTACAACCAAATCTTCGACTCGATGAACTTGTCATCGAGTTATATTCCAGTGTTGTTCCTTCATTCCTGATTAAGTTGCAAATTAAAGGTCTGGATTCAGAGAGAAGTGTTAAAGTTATCAAAAAAGTCACAAGAGATTTCGAAGAAATGACACAATTTAAAAAAGTCGAATGCATCAGTATGCTTGAAGCTGTTCAGAAAGGTCTGAAAAATGATACACTTGATCCCAACATTGTTTACTCAACATTAAAAATATTATTGCAAAGAAAACATTTGATTTAATAAACATTTAATTTATTATAATTAATTTTTTATTACAGTATAGTAAAAAATGCTATAAATAAATTATTATATTTTATTAAAATGTGACTTTTAATAGTAAGTGAATAAAATAAATCAGGAATTGGGAAAGAAATAAGGTTAATTAAAAATAATGAAAATTACAAGTTTAAGGTTAATGAAAAAGTGACAATGGGCGAGTTTGTCCCCCACTCCTGTAAATTTCTTATATTCTTTTGGATTATGATTGCACATAACGAGTTATGATCAATGTATTAGCGATTAGCAACAAAAAATTCGAAACCTGTAAAATTCTTACGATCGATAAAACCAATAATTATAACGTGTGTATTAAAAATTACGTATTATTTTCCGTAATAGTATACATTACAATAATATTTAACTAACAAACAAAATAACAAATCTAAATAATCGCTTATTTTGGCTTTGATCGGCGAGCTGATATTACTGTTGAAGCTCGCTTGGATTTTGCTTCAGCCTTCTCTATAGCTTCACTTAGCGGAGGCAAAGAACGATCGAGAGTATCTCTTTTCATTCTCTTCTCCAAAACATTTAAGACTCCAACCTGTGGCTTCGTATTGAATATCTTATTATACGCTTGTTCACGATTAGCAAATTCTTGCTGGTAGTGTTTCAGCTCATTAAATAATTTTGCAACCATGTCGTTGCTTTCAAAGACGCGCTTTTCAAGCTCTTTGATTTTCTGTTGATCTGCAATGGTTGAACCCATAAGATCCAGTTTCTTCAACAAATCTGAATTTTCTTTTTTAGTTTTTTCAAGTTCTTCATTCAGTTTTCCTATATCTGTCTTATAACCATCTTCTATTTCATCAAATTCATCCAACAGTTTCTTTAATTCCTCTTTTCTTTGGTCATCAATTTCATTTAATTTGTTTTCATGCTCTTTATTTAAGTTATCGATTTCATTCTTATGAGACAACTCCAAATCATTAATTTTCTTTTGCATTTCACCTATTTTTACCTCATGTTCGCTCTTCAAAAGCGAAATTTGAGTATTTTTCTGCAATTCCAGCTCATTTTTAGTCAAATCAAACTGTTGTTCCATTGACAAATACTTCTTCTCATGTTCCACCTTATTTTGCTGTATCTGCAATATGAGTTTATCAATTTCTTTGTTTTGATGTGACTCATTAAACTGATATTTCTTCTTCAAATCATCAATTTCAAGCTGAAGAAGCTTTATTTGGTCCTTTGATGACTGTTGCATATTTGCTTCTACAGCAGACATCGTTTCCTGAAGATCCGTGAACTTTTTCTCAGCAGCAGTCATTTCATCGAAGTGTTTCTTGTGCATATCATCCATCTGCTTGTGCAAGGCATCAATATTATCTTGGAGTTCTTTGATTTTCGTCTCATAATCTTTTGATTTTTGGGAAAATTCGTTTTGTCTCAAAGACATTGACTTAGAGAACTCTTTCTTAAGGTTTAATATCTCTTCAGTATGTTGTTTTTCTATTTCCACCAACTTTTCGTTAAATTCGGAATTATTTTCTTCACGTTGGCCCTTCAAAATGACATCTTTCTCATCCATTGACATCTTGAAGTCCTTTTCCATACGGTTCTTCTCATCCTGAAGTTTCTTAATTTGAGATTTCAAAGTCAAAAGCTTTTCTTCGTAATCGTGCATCTGCTGGCCAATCTGCTCTTCAAGGAAACCATTAGTATGTTGCAAATTTTCTATTTGGTCCTTAAGTTCTTTGATGTCATGTTCATAATTATCTCTTTGCTGGGACAAACTGTCTGTTTTCTCGGCCTCGAACTCTTTCTTGAGCTTCTCATTATTGAGGCGTATGCTAAGAGTGTATTTTTCATCAAGTTGTTTCAATTGTGTCTCTTGCATAACTTTCATTTGTTCTTTTTCAAGAGCAAGCTGGTCTTCCAAGGCTTTCAAGCGTCGCTCGTACGCTTTTATCAAAGAATTCTTGGAATTTTCGCTGTTCTCATATATAGATTTTGTTTCTTTTTCTTTTTCTTTTTCAAGTTTTGAAATTTTTCTTTCATATTCAGACTTTAGCTGGGTAATTGTACTATTTAACTGAGAAATCTGAGCCATATAGCCGTCTTTTTCATCCTTGAACTTGAGATTTGCATTGTCCATGGCTATTTTGCTGTCTCTGTTCAATGCTTCAATTTGATCTTTTAATTCTTGGACTTCTGCGGCATGTGACTTCATAATAATTGCAATGGAATTCGAACTTTGTGTCCTCTCTGCTTCAATTGCCTTTTCGTTGATGGATGCAACATCTCTGAGCTGAGATTTCAAATCTACAATCATACTGCGTAGATCGGCTTCTGTTTTATGACTTTCTGCTTCCATAAATGACATTTTATTCTGCAAACGATCGATTTCGTCTGTCAAATTTTTAATAATTTTCTTATGTTCTTCATTTGACTGCGAAGAGCTATCCTTTAATTGTTCTTGGAGTTTTTTTATATCACTTTCAAGTAAAGCTTTCATTTTGTTGCTTGAATCCTCTCTTTCAGAGATTTCTTGTCTAAATTTCTGAATTGTATCTTCTAACTGTTGTTTAAGTGATTGTGTGTCTGTAGAATACTTTGACTGTTCAGCCCTGATTTTATTCTTTAAGTTCTCTATCTCTTCTTTGTCTGCAGCTTGAGATTTTAATGAATCTTTGTATTTTGAAACGTTTTCTTCGAGTTTTGAAAGTTTTTCTTGTAATTGCTTATTAGATTTCGCAAGTTTGTTCTTCTCTTGTTCTGTTGCACGTAAATTGTTGTCGAGTTCTAAGTTTGTTGTCTTTAATTTCGAAACTTGATTCACTAATTCCTGAACCTTTTTAGCTTCAAGCTCTTTATCAGCAGCAGACATTTGAGCACGTAGTTCGTCTTCTTTTTTTGCTGATTCTACAACAAGTTTATTATACTTTAAGTTGGATTCTGTAATAACGTTTTCTAATTCTTGTTGATGCTTTTGCTTCAGCTCTTCAACAGTATCAGAAAAGTGATCTCTTGCTTGAGTGAGTGATTGCTTGAAGTTTGTTCTTTGATATTCGAGCTGGTCAGTTAAATTTTTGATTTGTTTTTGTAAAACTTCAATTTGTTCTTTGGTTATACTAGATATACTGGCTGCTTTTTCTTGTAGTTTCTTAGTTTCGCTTTCATATTGACTTTTTACTGTATTATACATCTCTTCATATTTATCTTTTGTTTCTTTTTGCGTTTCTTCATATTCTTTTGCTAAATTATCTCTAAACTCTTGAACTCGTTGGTCAACAACATTTCTGATTTCTTCTATTTCCTTATCTTGCGCTCTTTTTAATTTTGCTATCGAATCTCTTCGATCAATTCCTTCTGTATGCAGTCTAAAAATAACTTTTGTTAATTGGGCAATCTTTTTACTGACATTATATTGCCAGTTCGGGTCGATTGCCTGCATATAAAAATCAGAAACGTTAAAATCTTAGAATCTTGTCACTTTTTTAAAATCAAAACTGGAAAAATAAAAATGTCTGGAAACTTGCTTCCTGCCAATATTTTGAGTGCGTATTTATAATGTATGAATTCTTATACGTAGTGAGTATTATATGTATGATATGAAGAAAATTGGCAAATACAAGCGGAATCTCATGATGATCTATTAAAAACTTTTTATTTATGCATTAGAATGTTTGTGGGGCACAATAAATTAACATATTGTTAAGAATTAGGAATATGACTGATATTTAGGTTTATATTTTGCCAATATGAAGTTTACTATTTGTGGAGTTTCTCTATTCTGCATTTTAGAGTTGGAGAAGATTTTTATCCATACGAGATCCTTATAAACATATTCTAATTTTTATTGAATTCGTGAAAATACCCAATTTCAAAAATGTTGTTTTTAAATTAAAATTCGAACAAAATAAGAGAAAAATTATATGAGGGATATTAGATATTCCTTTATCTCAGCATGTCCACAGGCAAATGGTGATTTTCCTTCTTTGTTCTTTGCGAATTTATCAGCACCAACTGATACAAGGTATTTAACTACCTCAATATGATCATTGATTGCAGCCAAGTTGAGTGGAGTGTTTTCATCATCATTAATTACTTCTTTCTTTGCTTTGGCTTTAATCAGACACTTAACAATACCAAGATATCCAAAGGAAGACGCCAAATGTAAAGGAGTATTTCCATAAGCATCTCTTGATTCTTTGTTAACGCCAACAGAAAGAAGATACTGAACAACATCTTTATGACCATTAAACGTTGCCCAAATAATTGGTGTGTTTCCATCATCATTCTTTGTTTCTTTATTTGCTCCTGATGAAATGAGACACTTAACAATCTCAAGATTACCTTGATATGATGCCCAATTTAGTGCCGTGTATCCCAAATCATCCTTTGCTTCTTTGTTTGCTCCAACAGACAAAAGATATTGAACAACATCATTGTGGTTGTTATAAGATGCCCAAATTAATGGTGTTGATTCATTGTCAGTTTTAACTTCAATGTTGCAACCAGTTTGAACAAGAGCTTTAACAAGTCTTAAGTTTCCATTGGCTGCTGCTTCATGAAGTGCAACTCTGTTATCATCTCCTTTCTTATCACAAAGACCTTCTTGGAATGCTTTCATTAACTTCCTTTGATTTCTTGATTTTGATATGTCATCAAGGAATTGATAAATAGCATTGAAATCATCTGATCTTTTATATGATGCTATTTTAGTAAGAAACTTCTCTGAGTAACTGATATCTATAATTTCCTTTTTCAACATTTTGTTCTCTTCAGAAATCTGATCAACTTTCTTTTGAAGTTCTGCAAGTGAATTTTCGATTTTTTGGAACTTTTTTGATGAGTCTTCTATTTCCTGAGATGTTTTGTTTAAAATATCAATAACTCCGGATAATATGCCTAGCTTCATGTGCTTTTTAATTGATTTAAGGAATGTAATAGCATCAGCTAGATTATTGATGGAAATAGATGTAGTACGAGTATATGTATATAGTCTTCTTGCTTTCAATTTAGTTGTTGATTGCTTAATTAGGGAAATATATTCGTCTGTAGTTAATTTGGCATGTTTTAATATTTTTGGGATGTCTTCTTCGTCATAAACGCTAAATAACATTCCATTTGCGATATAATCACTGGCATGAGCAGCCATATATTCAAAGTTCGGTTCTAATCCGTTACTCATTATGAATTTTTAAATCCGAAATTCTTTTCCACTAAAAGTTCATCGTAAAAATTTCTCAGAAATTCTCTTATAGAACTTTATAATCTACGACTTTGAATTCTACAGTAACAAATTACTGTTAGCCAATAATTTTTGATAACAGATTATTACAGTAACATTAATTTAGAAAACAAAAGATGAAAAGATTCAATTTTTGAAAATTCAAATAAAAAATTCAAAGGATTTTGAAGAACTTTAGTTAAAATCAAAACAGGTGAAACATATTAATGATAAAAACTTATTCCAATTTTTGAAATAAATAAATGTTTTGGTATCTGAAATTATGGGCTCGAATTCGAACATCAGGATGATTCTTGCATATACTAACTTTGACTTACTACGAGATAACATAAAATTATATTGTTAGAACTTTGGAAAAAAAAATCTTTTGGAAAAATTTTCTCCTGCAAAAAAAAAAATTCAAATGAATTACATCGAGTGTATTGAGAAAAACAAAGAATATTGCGAAGCTTTTGACAGCATTTATAAGCTCAGCACAAACGATACCAATGAAATCAATGCTATTTTCGACAAAATAAAAAAGATTTTGATTTCTTCAAATTACTTTTCGCCAGCACACATATTGATTCATATTCAAAATGCAGCCCTGCATCGTAACCGTTTTTTCAGAGGGTATTGGATGCTTTTTAAAAAGATTTTGGACGAATTTCAACCAACAAAAATCAAGAACATTTCGTTAGGATTTGATTACATAATATACCAAGAATACCATAAATTTTTTAATCCTGAGCATCAAAGAGTCATCAAAACAAACTTCAGATTTCCAATTGATGTCCATGAAGATAATAATAATATTTACAAAGTCATCATGAATGATGACAAAGAAAATTTCATCTTTTTCATAGAACAGGATGAATTTGATGAATATATGCAACTAACAAGTTATTCGTATCCTTATCAAAACTCAAGATTTCTAGGATATTCATTAGTTGAATTATGTTGTTATCATGGAGCAGTCAATTGCTTCAAACTTTTATTGACAAAATTCAAACCAGAAATCACTCCAATATGTCTTCAATTTTCTTTTCTGAGTGGAAATCAAGAAATCATGAGCGAGTGCTTGAAACACCAAAAGCCTGATGCCAAATGCATGGAATACGCAATAATATCTCACAACATAGATTTTGTTTCTTTTTTAGTTGATGAATACAAATTAAAAATCAATGTTGAAGATTGCGTCAAATATAATAATCTTCAAGCATTTCTCGTTTACTTAGATCGAACAAATGATATTAATGGATGCTTAACTCATTCATACTATTTTAATATCCCATCTGTTTGCGAAACACTTATCTTAGCTGGTGCAGATGTGAATATCTCGGATAAGAAAAGAAATATAGCACTCCATTATGCAATAAAGAGAAATTGGAAAGAAACGGAAAATTTACTTATTTTACATGGAGCTGATATAAATAAAAACGGTAGATATGATAGAAGTATTCTTCATGTTGCAGTAAAGGCAGATAGATTTGATATAGTCAATATATTAATGAAAAATGGAGCAGATATCATGAAAATAAAAGATGAGCATGGGGAGACTGTTCTTCACTATGCTGGAAAATATAACAAGAAGGAACTTGTTGAATTCTTTATTTTACATGGTGCAAATATCAATGCAAAGCAGCACTTTGGTAAGACTGTGCTTCATTTCATTGGTGAAAATAACAATGTTGAAATTGGGAAAATATTAATTTCCCATGATGCTGATGTCAATGCAAAAGATAATTATGAACGCACAGCATTGTATTACGCAACATTAAAAGGCAATAAAGAAATTGCAGATCTACTTATTTTACATAATGCTGATGTCAATGTAATAGATAAATTTGAAAAGTTCACTCCACTTATTAATGCTGTCAATAAAAATATGAATGAAACAGTTGAACTTCTCATTTCACATGGTGCTGATATTAATTTCAAAGACGAATTTTATAATGATGCACTTCGTCTTTGAAATAGCAGATATACTTATTAAGGGTGAGGCCAATATTAATTCTAAAGGCAAATCTGGGTCTACAGTTCTTCATTATGCTCAAGATGCCAAAGCAGTTGAATTCCTTATATCTCATGGAGCAAATATGGAAGAAAAGGACGCATATGGAGAAACTCCACTTCATGCTGCCGTCAAAGCTCATTTGGATGATGTTTCAAAAGCTCTTATTTCTCATGGAGCTGATGTCAATGCGAAAGATAAATTTGGTTATGATATTCTTTATTATGCCACAATGTCATTGAATACAGAATTGGTGAGGCTTCTTATTCCACAAGGATCTAATATTAAATCTAAATCAGATTCTGGTCGAACTTCACTCCATTATGCAGCAGAAAAGAATTGCCTAGAAATTGCAAAACTTCTTATTGAGAATGGTTCAGATTTCAACGAGAAAGATAAATACGGTAATACTCCTCTACAAATTGCATTATATCTCAATAACAAAGAAACAGCAGAATTTTTGATGTCAATTTCCGCAAAATAACGATATCAAAGCCTTCTTTCTGAAATCCATTTAAGGGGACCCTTACGATAAGTTTGATGTCGTCTCACTTTTTGACGTTCTTTAACTTGATATAATATATTGCATCAGCATGCTAAAGTGTAATACAAAATCCCAGATATGCATATAAAACTAAGGTTTGCATCTCTTATATCAAAAAAAATGCTCCAAAGACATGCAGACATGAGCGTTCCTGTAAAGTAAATCCAATAAAAAAAATTTTTTATATTAATTTTTCAAATGAAAATAAATCATAAAACAAAAAATATATATAAAGATAAAAATAAAAAAAAAAGTTATTTCTGTTGCTGGGATTGTTCCCATTGAATCTTCTGTTGTTCCCAGACTCTCTTATTCTTCTCCAACTGTTCAGTATTATCAGCGAGAGAAGTAATAAACTTTCCTAATGCAGTCAACAATGGACTTGCGCAGAAACCATAAAATCCAACCTGAGAACAAGAAATATGAGTTGCTTTGGATCTATCGCACATTGGAGTGATTTCAACACCAAGTTTAGATTCAAGATCTCCTTGTTTGAAGAACTCTTCCATTAAGTTTGTTGCCATTGCTGCGGCTGTGTCGAAAGCTCTTGTTGTATTTGACAAATCTCCAGCTTTGATGACGATTTGTGCCAACAAAAGTCTGTGCTTTTCGTTTCTCTTGTCGAACTCTTTCGTGACTTCTTCGAAATCCTTGATGTACTGCATGTGTTTCTCCATGTCTGTCGCCAAAATAATTTTGATGAAAAATTCATAAAAGTGACATTTGTCAGCATATGATTCTATTCCTTCCAAAATGTCATGTTCTGGCATTGCCAAAAGACGAATTGCTGTTGCGCAGTGGTGCATTTCCATGACAGGCTTGTCCTCGTATAATATACCGAGTGGTGTCCTTGCCTTCTTATGGAAAGCGTTGTTTAAGCCATGGTGATCAACATCATGACAAATTGCTGCCAACAAAAGTGCGAAAATCTCCAAATCGTTCAAATACTGGCGCAAATGGCCTCTTATTATACAGCTGAACACGAATTGCATGACATCGCACGCGTGTGTCCAGTTGTGGTAAGGAGTTACATTGTAGCAACTTCTCAAAGAACAAATGAATTGAGTGAGTTTTTGGAACGGAACTTGCAATTTTCTGATGACGCCTTGAGACACAAACAACTTCAAGATCATGATCATCCTGTCATCATCGTTATACGACAAAATGTTAAATAATCTATCAGAATACTCTTCGATATCTGACCTTGTCGGTGCCGACGCTCTACTCATGAAACTTGCTCTTTCTTCCGTCGAAACTCCACCTCCAACAGCACTTGATTTCGCTTCTCCGAGGTTCTTCGTGATGTCGACTGATTGAGCAATTATGTATTTGCTTTCCATGGCAGCTTGTTCGTCGATTTGCGTGAAAGCGTTTTCTCCTGTTAATTCAAGAACCAAATCATCAGAAATCTTAATAATCAAGGCGTTCTCAGGATTCTTTCCAAGTGAATCAACAGCAGCATTGTAGACATCGTGCTTGGAAAGTTCCGTCGTGTTCACAGTTTGTCCATTTGTTGCTACTTGTCCGACCAACCCTTGACTTAACTGAGCGTTTTTACTTGCCAATGATCCTTCCGCAGCCGAAATAAGAGATAATTGTTCGGAGACATTATCTATATGGTACAAAGCGAAATCATTAGCGTTTAGTTGTGTTGCAAGCTCGTTAAGAAGTCTATCAGTTATATCAGGCGATGTAGGAATCAATTTCTCAAACAGTGATTTGTGGATTTGAGAAATTCTTGAAGCTTTGTCGAGAGAATTCAAAGCGTTTGTGAGATCTCCGAAATGAACTAAGAACAAACTGAAATCAGATATCAATTGTTTGTCTTGTTCACTGAATCTTCCTTGTGCATTCAAAGAATTCTCACACATAATAACCCATTTGCAATCATCAACTTCGCTTGAAACACATGGAAATGTTATATTCGAATAAGATTTGTAGTTCGTTTCTTCATCAAATGTTCCCAACATGTTTCGAAGTTCGCTTGCAACAGAGTATTCCAGTGTTTCCTTCTTCGAAATTGCCTGTTGAACTAAAGGAGGAACGTTCACAGTTTGTGCATAAGGATTTGTAGATTTAAGGATGAACTGTTGCTTGATTTTGTTGTTTGAATCAATATCCCAAATTGCAACTAAATCACAATTAACAGCATGAGCAATTTCTTTAGCGACTGTTTCGCAGATTTGATATTTCTTCTGTTGTGGATTCTTTGAAGACATCGCTGAAATAATTGCACGCATTGGCTTCTCGAAATTGCCTGCAACATTGTTGGATTTAGTTTTGGCTGATTGTACGGCTTGTGCAGCTAAAATGTTTGTGATGTTGACACCGATTTGAACAGCAATTTGTTGCAAACTCGAAACATCAACACTTGAAAACATGTTTGCACCGCGTTTTCCGTAAGCTGTCAATACAGCAATCGGCTTCTTGTCAATGCCGAAAACAGGGACGGCAATGAGGGATTGGCCAAGCGCTGGGAGATCGAACTCTTTCGAGAAGTACTCGCACTTCTCTGGATTCAATCTTGAGAAATTGAGAACTTGTAAAGTCTGAATAACGTGCATTGGAACTCCTGAAGTAGATTTAAAGTATTTTCTTGCGAAGAACTGAGTTCCGTCTGCTCCGACTTGGTGTTCAAACACGTACAGCATCTTCTGCTCGCTATCGTACATATACAACTCTGCATCATTTGTGCTAACTGCGTGTTGAACAACTGATAAAATTGTTGGCAATAATTCTTCCAGAGTATTTTTGCCTAAAAGTATGTTTACACCGTGAGCAATCTCTTGGCGGACAACTCTGTCATCGTTCTTCTCCATGTGCTCAACGTAGCTGGTAAGGAAAGGCGAAATCTGGGTACTTAAAATCAATCCAATTTCGAGATCTTCTGGTGAAAAGAAGGCACCAACTTTGGGAGTGTGAACTAAAAGAACGGAAATAACAAAGTTGGAAGATGAGTCGAAAATGGGAATTAACATTGCAGCGTTGTCGCCAATGTTGAAATAATCATCAATTTCGGGATCGTATGAAGAAGAGTCTTTTGTGGACTGTAGAACAACAACTTTGCCAGCTTTGGCGCAGCAACCGACAATACCACGGCCTAAAGGAACTTGTAAAGTAAAACGATCATTATCAATATAAGAAACCATCTGATTTTGCTGGGGTTGTAGGGTGAAAAGACGACATGAACCTGCATTGAATAATGTGCAGGCAAAGTTTTCGATAGAATGAAGAAATTGTCTGTTATGAATTGATTTTCGAAGAGTTTGAACTAATTCTGTAATAGAAGATGTTCTAAATAGTTGTGCAAATGTTGCACTTGCATATTCAACTGCTAATTTCGATGGAATTGAATGAAGAATGTTTTTCAAACGTTCTGCACCGTTATCTGATGTAGAAACTAAGTATTTGAGTGGAAATGGATTCTGAGCTAAATAAACTGGATATTGCGACTGATTAATTTTTAACAATTGATCAACAATTAATCGATCTTGCTGTTGAATTGAAGGAATATATGTAGGCATATAGTTACTGTCTCCAACAGGCTCAACAGAGGATAGCCTTGAAACTAAATCTGATAAGTTTGAAATGCGAGTTTTTTGGACTGAAATCATTTGCAAAGAACTTGTAATTCTTTCTTCTAAAATCTGAGTTCTGTACAGTAGCTCGTCTCTTTCTGCAATAAGTTTATCAATTACTGCATTTTGGTGTGTAAACACGTTTTTGATCGATCGATTAACTGAATTTGGATCAAATTGAATCTGGTTTGGCTGAATTCTTGCTAAGGGAATGTTATTGTCAGATAGCTTAGCCTTTCCAAGGGGCCGGGTTATCCCTGACCCTTTAGAAGAATTCATATTGAATTAACGTGTTATTTTTTTTTTAGAAAATTTTATATCCTCACTAAAATCTTAGATAATTATACTAACTAATAGACATACTACTTAAGAATTTAATATAAGACTAATTTTTTCATTATTATTTTTAATTAGGTACAATTTGTTCTATTGATTTCATAAAAATGAAGAAGTTTATAACAGAATATAACATTAGATGAAACGTATCCTAATTAATTTCGTTTCACATTTCATTTTTCAAGTTTATGTTGTTTCAAATTCAAATCCTAATTAAAAGATGGTTTTTTAAAGATTTATTCTTTTTGTTATAAAATTCTTTTAGTTATATAAATCATCATGGGGCATTAGTCATAGTTGACGACTAGACAAAGAATTATAAGATATTCTTAGCACCATGGTCAACTAAGAATTTGACGATTTCTGTTGAATTCGCTTTGATTGCAATGCTAAGAGGGCATTCATTAACATCGAAAGAATTTGATAAAACAATGATAAAAATGAAAAGAAAGAAAATGTCATAAAACAATGATAAATATGAAAAGAAAGATAATGTCATAAAACAATGATAAATATGAAAAGAAAGATAATGTCATAAAACAATAATAAATATGAAAAGAAAGATAATGTCATAAAACAATGATAAATATGAAAAGAAAGATAATGTAATAAAACAATAATAAATATGAAAAGAAAGATAATGTAATAAAACAATAATAAATATGAAAAGAAAGATAATGTAATAAAACAATAATAAATATGAAAAGAAAGATAATGTTATAAAACAATGATAAATATGAAAAGAAAGATAATGTCATAAAACAATGATAAAAATGAAAAGAAAGAGAATAAGTTTCATGTTCACATCTGCACCTTGCTCAACTAAGAATTTGACAATTTCTGTTGAATTCGCTTTAATTGCAATGCTAAGGGGGCATTCATTAACATCGAAAGAATTTGATAAAACAATGATAAAAATGAAAAGAAAGATAATGTAATAAAACAATGATAAATATGAAAAGAAAGATAATGTCATAAAACAATGATAAATATGAAAAGAAAGATAATGTAATAAAACAATGATAAATATGAAAAGAAAGATAATGTAATAAAACAATGATAAATATGAAAAGAAAGATAATGTAATAAAACAATGATAAATATGAAAAGAAAGATAATGTTATAAACAATGATAAATATGAAAAGAAAGAGAATAAGTTTCATGTTCACATCTGCACCTTGCTCAACTAAGAATTTGACAATTTCTGTTGAATTCGCTTTAATTGCAATGCTAAGGGGGCATTCATTAACATCGAAAGAATTTGATAAAACAATGATAAAAATGAAAAGAAAGATAATGTTATAAAACAATGATAAATATGAAAAGAAAGATAATGTGATAAAACAATGATAAATATGAAAAGAAAGATAATGTAATAAAACAATAATAAATATGAAAAGAAAGATAATGTCATAAAACAATGATAAATATGAAAAGAAAGATAATGTAATAAAACAATGATAAATATGAAAAGAAAGATAATGTCATAAAACAATGATAAATATGAAAAGAAAGATAATGTCATAAAACAATGATAAATATGAAAAGAAAGATAATGTCATAAAACAATGATAAATATGAAAAGAAAGATAATGTCATAAAACAATAATAAATATGAAAAGAAAGATAATGTCATAAAACAATGATAAATATGAAAAGAAAGATAATGTAATAAAACAATGATAAATATGAAAAGAAAGATAATGTTATAAAACAATGATAAATATGAAAAGAAAGAGAATAAGTGTCATGTTCACATCTGCACCTTGCTCAACTAAGAATTTGACAATTTCTGTTGAATTCGCTTTAATTGCAATGCTAAGGGGGCATTCATTAACATCGAAAGAATTTGATAAAACAATGATAAAAATGAAAAGAAAGATAATGTTATAAAACAATGATAAATATGAAAAGAAAGAGAATAAGTTTCATGTTCACATCTGCACCTTGCTCAACTAAGAATTTGACAATTTCTGTTGAATTCGCTTTAATTGCAATGCTAAGGGGGCATTCATTAACATCGAAAGAATTTGATAAAACAATGATAAAAATGAAAAGAAAGATAATGTAATAAAACAATGATAAATATGAAAAGAAAGATAATGTTATAAAACAATGATAAATATGAAAAGAAAGAGAATAAGTTTCATGTTCACATCTGCACCTTGCTCAACTAAGAATTTGACAATTTCTGTTGAATTCGCTTTAATTGCAATGCTAAGGGGGCATTCATTAACATCGAAAGAATTTGATAAAACAATGATAAAAATGAAAAGAAAGATAATGTAATAAAACAATGATAAATATGAAAAGAAAGATAATGTAATAAAACAATGATAAATATGAAAAGAAAGATAATGTTATAAAACAATGATAAATATGAAAAGAAAGAGAATAAGTGTCATGTTCACATCTGCACCTTGCTCAACTAAGAATTTGACAATTTCTGTTGAATTCGCTTTAATTGCAATGCTAAGGGGGCATTCATTAACATCGAAAGAATTTGATAAAACAATGATAAATATGAAAAGAAAGATAATATCATAAAACAATGATAAATATGAAAAGAAAGATAATGTAATAAAACAATGATAAATATGAAAAGAAAGATAATGTAATAAAACAATAATAATATGAAAGAAAAGATAATGTAATAAAACAATGATAAATATGAAAAGAAAGATAATGTCATAAAACAATGATAAATATGAAAAGAAAGATAATGTCATAAAACAATGATAAATATGAAAAGAAAGATAATGTAATAAAACAATGATAAATATGAAAAGAAAGATAATGTCATAAAACAATGATAAATATGAAAAGAAAGATAATGTAATAAAACAATGATAAATATGAAAAGAAAGATAATGTCATAAAACAATAATAAATATGAAAAGAAAGATAATGTTATAAAACAATAATAAATATGAAAAGAAAGATAATGTAATAAAACAATAATAAATATGAAAAGAAAGATAATGTAATAAAACAATAATAAATATGAAAAGAAAGATAATGTCATAAAACAATGATAAATATGAAAAGAAAGATAATGTCATAAAACAATAATAAATATGAAAAGAAAGATAATGTCATAAAACAATGATAAATATGAAAAGAAAGAAAATGTCATAAAACAATGATAAATATGAAAAGAAAGATAATGTTATAAAACAATAATAAATATGAAAAGAAAGATAATGTCATAAAACAATGATAAATATGAAAAGAAAGATAATGTAATAAAACAATGATAAATATGAAAAGAAAGATAATGTCATAAAACAATAATAAATATGAAAAGAAAGATAATGTAATAAAACAATGATAAATATGAAAAGAAAGATAATGTAATAAAACAATGATAAATATGAAAAGAAAGATAATGTAATAAAACAATGATAAATATGAAAAGAAAGATAATGTTATAAAACAATGATAAATATGAAAAGAAAGAGAATAAGTTTCATGTTCACATCTGCACCTTGCTCAACTAAGAATTTGACAATTTCTGTTGAATTCGCTTTAATTGCAATGCTAAGGGGGCATTCATTAACATCGAAAGAATTTGATAAAACAATGATAAAAATGAAAAGAAAGATAATGTTATAAAACAATGATAAATATGAAAAGAAAGATAATGTGATAAAACAATGATAAATATGAAAAGAAAGATAATGTAATAAAACAATAATAAATATGAAAAGAAAGATAATGTCATAAAACAATGATAAATATGAAAAGAAAGATAATGTAATAAAACAATGATAAATATGAAAAGAAAGATAATGTCATAAAACAATGATAAATATGAAAAGAAAGATAATGTCATAAAACAATGATAAATATGAAAAGAAAGATAATGTCATAAAACAATGATAAATATGAAAAGAAAGATAATGTCATAAAACAATAATAAATATGAAAAGAAAGATAATGTCATAAAACAATGATAAATATGAAAAGAAAGATAATGTAATAAAACAATGATAAATATGAAAAGAAAGATAATGTTATAAAACAATGATAAATATGAAAAGAAAGAGAATAAGTGTCATGTTCACATCTGCACCTTGCTCAACTAAGAATTTGACAATTTCTGTTGAATTCGCTTTAATTGCAATGCTAAGGGGGCATTCATTAACATCGAAAGAATTTGATAAAACAATGATAAAAATGAAAAGAAAGATAATGTTAAAAACAATGATAAATATGAAAAGAAAGAGAATAAGTTTCATGTTCACATCTGCACCTTGCTCAACTAAGAATTTGACAATTTCTGTTGAATTCGCTTTAATTGCAATGCTAAGGGGGCATTCATTAACATCGAAAGAATTTGATAAAACAATGATAAAAATGAAAAGAAAGATAATGTAATAAAACAATGATAAATATGAAAGAAAGATAATGTTATAAAACAATGATAAATATGAAAAGAAAGAGAATAAGTTTCATGTTCACATCTGCACCTTGCTCAACTAAGAATTTGACAATTTCTGTTGAATTCGCTTTAATTGCAATGCTAAGGGGGCATTCATTAACATCGAAAGAATTTGATAAAACAATGATAAAAATGAAAAGAAAGATAATGTAATAAAACAATGATAAATATGAAAAGAAAGATAATGTCATAAAACAATGATAAATATGAAAAGAAAGATAATGTTATAAAACAATGATAAATATGAAAAGAAAGAGAATAAGTGTCATGTTCACATCTGCACCTTGCTCAACTAAGAATTTGACAATTTCTGTTGAATTCGCTTTAATTGCAATGCTAAGGGGGCATTCATTAACATCGAAAGAATTTGATAAAACAATGATAAAAATGAAAAGAAAGATAATATCATAAAACAATGATAAATATGAAAAGAAAGATAATGTAATAAAACAATGATAAATATGAAAAGAAAGATAATGTAATAAAACAATAATAAATATGAAAAGAAAGATAATGTCATAAAACAATGATAAATATGAAAAGAAAGATAATGTCATAAAACAATAATAAATATGAAAAGAAAGATAATGTCATAAAACAATGATAAATATGAAAAGAAAGATAATGTAATAAAACAATGATAAATATGAAAAGAAAGATAATGTAATAAAACAATGATAAATATGAAAAGAAAGTGAATATAAATATTGTTGATATCTTTTCCATTAGAAAGTAAATAAGATGCAACATCATAATTTCCGAAATACATACATTCAGCTATTGAATTAGGAAATTGTCCTAAATTTGATTTAAGGTACTCAGCAATTTCATATTGTCGATAATCCAATGCTGCATTAATCATGTCATCAAATGGTTTACCTTCTTCTATCATTTGCATAAAAATGTTTTTATTTCCGCCTTGAATAGCACATTCTTCGGAGTAATCAGTGTATTCAGCTCCTAAATTTTTCAAATAATTGAAACACAATTCTGATCCATATTTAATTGCACAATCAAGTGGAGTGATATAATTAATCTCCTCATTAATATCAAGATTTGGGAATTTATTCTTAAGATCATCAACTTTATCCCATGCAATATAGTATAAAGGAGATTCTGTTGAATACAAATTCAGAATTATTTCTTCTTTCATTTCAGGTTCGAAATTTTCAAATTTGAAACCTTTATAATGTAGAAGCGTAACCAATTTTTCATTTTTCGGCTTAGTTAGGCATGAGAATTCGTTTAATATCTTTTCGTAAAGTTCCGAAAATAATTTAATATCTTTAACACGAATTTGTGAGATAACATCAATCAAGTGAAGTGACATTTGGATAGGTATTTTGTTAGACTTAATAAACCCTATCAATTGTGATGATACTTGTAAAATATTATTGGAATTGACACTCCAAATAATTTTTGATGCTTGATTAGGATATTCAAATACTTCATTTAGCTTATTATCATTAAAGTCGCACCAAGTTTCATTTTTTGATTGTTTTGAACTTGACATGATTTTTGTAAAATGTTATTCACTTTTGCGGTTTGAAATTTTGGGGAGGCGACCGAAGGGAGCCTCCCCAAAATTTCAAACCGCAAAAAAGCTGAATATCATTTTAGCATAGTATTGACTGCAGATAAAAATTTAAATGTTTATTTTAAATTTTTTTTTGCCGTCAATACTATTTCAAAAATTTTTATAGAAAAATTTTTGAGAAAAAAATGTTGATGGAGGAATTTTTAAAGTCGGCAGAAATAACACTGAAATGCTTTGTATGAGTAGAAAATGTATATCGGAAGTTCAAAAAAAGCTTTTTACAACAAAAATGTAAGCATTTCTGTATTTATTATTTATTTTAAGCTTTTTGATATTGTCCAATAATTTTATAGACAGAAGGACAAAATTACAATTGAGAATTTTATCATAATTTCAATTTTGGAATGATTTTGATCATCAACATTAAACTTTTACTAATTTCAAATAAACCTAAGTAACTACCTTATTTCTGTCCAATTGAAAAATAAGTTTAAAATATGATATACAATAATGAAGGAAACATTCAATTGATTCTAAAAATTGAATTTAATGGATTCTATGTTAGTTATTTGAAACTTATAAAACTACTTCATTATAAAAACGAGTTGGAAAATAAATACGCACACATAATTATATTTATTACATACATACAAACAAAATATAATTTATATACGACAATAGGATTCAATAACCGAGCTATCAAATCCATTCTTGATAGCAATATCTATGGCAGTCCTTCCCTTTCTATCAACAATTGAGTTATCATAATTTCCATTTCTTACCATAAATTCAAAAGCCTTCAAATCATAGGAAGCGGCACAATGGAATGCAGTTTGTCCATTTTCCATTTGAAGATTTTGATCTATCGCTTTAGTTTTCAAAAGTAATTTGATCAATTCTAAGTTTCCTGACTCTGCAGCTGCCATTAACGGTGTTTTCCCATCTTCATTTGCAGCATTTACATCAACTCTCTTATCACTCAAAAATTGCTTAACAGAGAAGAAATTTCCTCTCTCACAAGCTAAATAAAAAGGAGTTTCTCCGAAATTATCCTTTCTGTTAACATCGATTTCTGACATAGAGAGAAGGATTGATAGAGATTCAACAGCACCATTGAATGCAGCAGCATGTAAAGCTGTTCTCCCGAAAACTTCAGTTGAATTTACTGATTGACCTAAATTAATGCATTTAAGTAGGACATATATATTATTTGCTCCTGCTGCAACTGTAAGAGTTAATCTCCCATCTTTGTTTATCCTCATAAACTCGTTATTTCCGTAAATAATAAATTCAAATAAGTCATTCTGATGGAATTCGGCAGCAGTATGGACAGATTCGTCCATCTTAACTTTAGTTAAGATCACTGATGAGTAAATCGGCTCACAACCAATGGCAGCAGCATATTGAGCTGATTTTCGATATTCTTTATCTGCTCCAACCTGGCATTTATTAATAGAGAACTGATGATAAATCTTCATCGATCCGTAAACCATTGAATAAAGTTGAATAAAAATATCATCTTTGATAAGAGGACATCTTTCAAATACATTTATAGGAATTTGTACTTTCAATGGTTTCTGAAATGATTTTGCAAACTTTCCAAAGCTAACAGTGTCATCTTTTTTAATTGCATTTAATAATTCATCATCTGTATTTCCTAGCTTAAGGATATCGTTGTAGAATGACCAATTATCCTTACTGTAGAACTCTATGTTCTTATAAAAGTTCAAATACACTTTTGGAAAGAAATCATCGTGTAAATGAGATTCGATAAAGCTAATAACTTGATTATATAATGCAATATCATCTGAATGAACAATATCAGCGAACCAGCAAAAGGGTAATAATGAATTCACCTGTGAATCTTCGTTATTAAATAAATTTTTGATTTCTTCAATAATTCTTTGTTTCTGGATTAAATCAATCCAGTACAGTTCTCTAATAAAAGCTATTCTACTCTTCATTGCTGGTAATGGATTGTATTTTGCAATTTCTAGAAAAGATTTTTCAAAAATTTCTTCAGGAAGCTTGTCGAACTTGGAGTTTAGCTCCATAATGTCTTTTAAAAGTTTGGCTAATAGATTCAGCTTCTTATATCTGACATTTGCAGCAATCCAAATTATACTAATTATATGTTTTCTATTATGATGTAATTTGAGGAATTCTGATATGCTTTTTAATGTATCATCATAATTCTTCTTAGTAACTGAAAGGATATAATCTTGTAGCTTAATAAAATGAATTGCTCTATTTTTTCCATAATTATCGAGGAGTTGACAATCAATAACAGGTATTATTGTATCTATCCTTGAAACATTTAAGAATTCCTTTAAAACATCAAAATAATTAGTAATAATTTCGGAATTTTGAATTGAAGAATAAAATTGACAGCCTGAAAGAAATAATCGCTGCACTTGATTTGCAGATGGTCTCCTTTGCGGCTCTTGCGTCCAGCATGATTCCATAATGGATTGAATAAATAAAGGAGCTCTTACATCAAAAATTGGTCGAAATCCGTTTAGAAGCTTAAATCCAATTGATCCTGATTTGTGACTTGGTTTGAATTTATAGCCTTGTGAAAAAAATCTGCAAATGACCATTGATAAAGAAAACATATCGGTCATAAAATTGGGAGCGTAAATCGTTTGTAACTCTGGCGCAACGAAAACTGAATCGTGTAAATCTGATGGTGGACCCAGTGAAGGAAGCAAAAAATATGTTCCAATTGATGAAAAAATCGGAAATAAATTTTCATCGATTAAAATCGAGTCAAATGTAATGTCATTGCATACTATGTTGTTGGAATGAAGATACGTAATTGCAGATATAACTCCTGCTGAAAATAATATAGACATTTCTGGATTGTATTCATTTTGCGTTACGTTAACTAAATAATCGTCCATTGTTTTAGTCGTATTCGTTTTGGCAAACAAGAATATCGTGGATAATGAGTTTTGTAATATTTTAAATTTATATGGTATAGATATAGCTGGATGACTGAGTTTACTTAAAATGTTGAAGTTTGCTTTGAATGATTTGATATCTATTTCACTTAAATTAAGGTTAGATATCTGAGTTATAATCTCTAATTGCTGATCAAGATTATTTGTTGCAATAAAAACCTTAGTATTAGCATGCTCGCATATAGGTTTTACATTTGAATAACCATCGAGCATTGTAGAGGAGCTTTTTGCTATTTCCTAGGATTTTATATAATTCTGAAGTTATAATTTTATGAAACAACATATCTTAGCTTTGTTTTATCTGTATTATAATTTAACAATTATGAGTTTATCGAAGTTAATTCAGAATTTTTGAATCGAAAAACAAACGCTATCGTTCTACGCTTTTTAAATTTAATTTGATATTAAATTCCAATAGTTTAGCGTATTTATTAAACTAATATTTTATCCACTTTTGCTATAACGTCAGAAAAATAATTTTATGGATACGATATTTTTGTTTTATCGCGCTAGTGTATATACTCAGGATATAATAAGCATGGAAATTTTAGGATCCCCTCTACTTCGATAAAAAAAATGAAACCATATATTGCTCATATTTATTCATTACCACATTTTTATGTTCAACACATGCATAGCTATCATGCTGCAAGTTTGTGAATGATTTATTTCAGTCTATAATATTGTAAAACAAATAGATTTCAGAATGGATTGAAGGCACGCTATTCTTGTCCTCTAGCTTAAATCGTTTTTAATTCTGAATATAAATGAATTGGTATTTTGTATCTCATATTGCTCTGATGTTTCTACATGAAGATACAAAAAAGAAAGAATATTTATAAGTATGTTCTTAAGGATAGCCCTTCCAAAAGTGGAGACCTTTACAAATCGATGGAGAAAACCCTAAAATTTTCGAATCTGCTCCAGCGCAGCCTAACACCTTATAACAAAGATTTCATAGTCTAATAATTAAAGTTATTGGAAAAAGATATTAAATAGCAATATTAGCTAAAGTTTAGTTATTCGTAAATTCGTTGCAGAATTTAGAAGCCACCACGAAGGCGGAGAACGAGGTGGAGTGTAGAGTCCTTTTGGATGGAGTAGTCCTGAAGTGTGTTGCCATCTTCGAGCTGCTTACCGGCGAAGATCAAACGCTGCTGATCTGGTGGGATACCTTCCTTGTCCTGGATCTTGGCCTTGACGTCCTCGATACGGTCTGTTGGCTCGACCTCGAGTGTGATGTGCTTGCCTGTAAGGGTCTTGACGAAAATCTGCATACCACCACGAAGACGAAGAACGAGGTGGAGTGTAGAGTCCTTTTGGATGGAGTAGTCCTGAAGTGTGTTGCCATCTTCGAGCTGCTTACCGGCGAAGATCAAACGCTGCTGGTCTGGTGGGATACCTTCCTTGTCCTGGATCTTGGCCTTGACATCTTCAATTCTGTCTGTTGGCTCGACCTCGAGTGTGATGTGCTTGCCTGTAAGGGTCTTGACGAAAATCTGCATACCACCACGAAGACGAAGAACGAGGTGGAGTGTAGAGTCCTTTTGGATGGAGTAGTCCTGAAGTGTGTTGCCATCTTCGAGCTGCTTACCGGCGAAGATCAAACGCTGCTGATCTGGTGGGATACCTTCCTTGTCCTGGATCTTGGCCTTGACGTCCTCGATACGGTCTGTTGGCTCGACCTCGAGTGTGATGTGCTTGCCTGTAAGGGTCTTGACGAAAATCTGCATACCACCACGAAGACGAAGAACGAGGTGGAGTGTAGAGTCCTTTTGGATGGAGTAGTCCTGAAGTGTGTTGCCATCTTCGAGCTGCTTACCGGCGAAGATCAAACGCTGCTGGTCTGGTGGGATACCTTCCTTGTCCTGGATCTTGGCCTTGACATCTTCAATTCTGTCTGTTGGCTCGACCTCGAGTGTGATGTGCTTGCCTGTGAGTGTCTTAACGAAAATCTGCATTAAGAGAAAGTGATGTAACTATCTCCCCTCAATTTAATTGAGGCAAACTGTCAAAATTTTGGCGGCAAAGTCGCGAAAATTTTGTGCGCTTATATTTGGAATTTGAATTAATAATTAGATACCAAATCTATATTTCAATGAGAAAATGGGTTCCAGTTTTTGGGATTAAAATGTTCTGAATTTAATTGAATATGACACTCTCAATGGTCTCAGAATTTTATTTTTCCGATGATAAAATATTTATGATCGATCTTCAATAAAGGAAAATTAAACCGAAATATCCAAACTCTAAATATTTTTCGGAAATTTGTGAAATATTCTATTGGTATTCTTAACATGAGCCCGTTAGATTGGATATGATTGGTACTACAAATAGCAATTAGAAAATGACTTTTGGTTAACTTTTATTTTTCAAGATATTTTCCAAATTATAACTAAAAATTTGCCATATATCTTCAAGTATACAGTATGTTGTTGCATGTAAAATGTTTGCATGGCATTCATTTGTGCTTTCATCTTAAATAAAATGAGATATTATTATTAAATCTGCTTTTTCATTCATTACACTACTTTATTTACATACACATTCAGAGCCACTCGCTTTGGTTGCTAAGATTCCTATGAAAATCAAGATAATTATCCAATATCAATACAAATTATTGTATACATAGTAGTTATTATCTTCAACTGCGCATCGAACAATACATCTAGTCATATAAAAACATTTAATTAATTTATTAAATCTTTTAAAATAAAAAAAAATTCAAATAAGAAAAATTAACTAAAATATAATATAAAATAAATAAGAATTAAACGAAAGACACGAAGCTTCTTGAATTAGGAGCTGCTATTGTAGATGTCTGGCCAGAATTCCTTGACATCTTGACAGCGAACCATGTTGCCAAGAATAAACCTTTGCAACCATAGAAAACAGTTGGTTTTGCATTTGCTGCACCTTTCACGAATATCTCCTTCTGTAATCTCAAGCTTGATATTATTTCTGCTGATTTATTAGCAGATCCAGCTATGCATAAATCAGAGACTTTCTTTCTCATCTTATTTGCATCTGTTGGAGGAATTTCGTGAGCAACATTTTGGATCAAACTCTTGCACCATTTCTCCCATTCGTCAACAGATTTAATAGCAGCAACAGCTTTAGAAACTTGTTCACTTGGATTCTCTTCTTTCTTCGGGGAATTAACTTTCCTCTTCAAAGCAATAATCTGGCTTTCAGCGTTTTCTAATTTATCAGCCAAAGATTGTATCAAATCCAAAATTTGTTGGTCATTTCCATCGAAATCAGCAGGAGCAAACTGTTCCAAAACAGCAGACAGTTTGGCCAAATAATTCTGATGTGCTTCCTTTGCAACTTCCTCGAGATCTTTCTTGGTTTGGCTGATTTCGTTTTCTTTAATTTCAAGCTGACTTTGCCAATAAGAATCTCTTGCTTTTTGTGCTTGATCAACACGTGCAGAGAGCTGGTCGATTCTTCCAAGTAATATCTGTCTTTCCGCTTGTAATCCTTTGACTTCACTTGTAAGTGCTTCTTCTTTCGTTGTTGTCTTTCCTTTGGATTTAGAACCAATTGATCCTTCATTAATTCTTTGCATCAAAGCTTGGTTTTGTGTTCTCAAAGCTGCTGTTGTCTCTTTCTGTTTCCTAAATGCTACATCATATTCATTAATTAACTGCTTTAAGGTACTCTTGGCTTCGGCCAATTTGGCACTTTTTGTGTCAAGTTGTTTCTGAACTTTGTCAATTTTTTCATTGAATTTTTCTGTCAAAGATTTTACATCTTGATCGTGTTGTTCCTTCTCCTGGTTTATAAGTTGTGATACTCTTTGGTCGTATTTCTGTTGTCTGTCTTGTGTTTCCTTTTGCAATGATTCGTTTTCTTCTCTTACGCGTTTCATTTCGTTTTCTAAATCATCGTAAGTTCCTTGTAACAAAGTAAGTTTGTTTTCTGTACTCTGCAAGTTCTGTTTAGTGTCTGCTAATGTGTCCTGATTTTCTTTGAGTTCTTTCTGTATGTTTGCGAATCTTTCTTCGGCTTCTTTTAATTCGTTTTGTTTCTGTTGCAAATTCATTTCCAAGTTGTTAATGACATTTGTACTTGTTTCCTTCTCGTTCTCGAGCTGTTCGTGGACAGCTTGCAACTGGTTCTTCATGTCATTGACAGTGGAAACTTCCAATGAATCGAATTCGTTCTGAATCTGTTGGATCAATTGAGATGATCGGAGGGGAACTTCCTCGATTGGTCCATCGAAGTTGATGACAGTTCTGAGGTCGTTTTCAAGGGATGTTCTGATACCTGACATCTGTTTGACGAATGGGAAGATCTTTGAGAAGGAATCATCAAGATTATTGTAATCAAATTCTTCTTCAAGGACATCTTTGCAGTTCTTCGTGAATACTCTGGTCGACTTAAGTTGGTTAATGATCGAGTCGAGGGACTCAAGTGGAGTTCCTTCGAAATTGATGATTTCGGATGCAGATTTGATCCTTGTAACGAGTTCGTTGTTCTGATCGATAAGGGATTCGCTTAATCTGCGTATTAACTCGCTGGACAATGCACTGAAAGAGGCAACATCGAAGTCCTTACGCTTGTTTTCGGAATTTGAAATTTTCTCGAAATCTTTTTCAGCCATGTCTGGAGGAGGAAGGTCTGATTCTGGCATGAGATCGTGCTCTGATAGGAATTGTCTGCATCTGGCAACTTCAACGGCTACATCTTGGCGGAAAGATTGAGATTCAATTAATGTCTCGTTCGCCTTTGGAGATGAGAGTAAGAAGAGCTGCATCTTGCCACTGCGAGCAAGGTTGTTGATGAATCTGAGCTGGTTTTCGATGATATTAAGTAATTCTGGAGTATAATTTGTTTCTTTTTGTTTTTCCTTAGAATTAAGGAGGTCTTCGACAACTTGTTGTACACCAGCATTATCAAGATCACCGTATTGGTCGCGGAGGAGTTCTCTTATTGGCTCTAATGTATCTCTTTCGATAATTGTCTGAGTCTTGTAAGATGGCTGCTCTTCTAGTGTAATATCGCGTGATTTAACAGGTGTTTCGTATGTTTGGCTGGCATCGTTGCTTTGCTCGAGAGCTATTTGTGTTTCTGTTAGTTCATTTGTAAGAGTTCCGATGTATTCGTTTTGTTTGTGAACGAGATCTAATGTCTTTGTTCTGAATTTGTATAATTGGTTGATTTCATCTGCTTGGCTCTGGCAAAGTGAAGTAATTTGAGCTAATGCCTTAGCTACACGTTCATTTTCTGACTTTTGAGCCGCAAGATTTTCTGGTTTGAGTTCTTCCAATTCATTGGACATGCTTTCGATCTTATTCATTAATTCGCCATTTTGCATCTTCAAATCTTCATTTTCTGCTTCGAGATGATGCAATTCTGATGATTGAGCCTGAAGCTGCTCCTTATAATTAGCAACTTTGATGCTACGTGCATCGATCTTGGCGCGAGTAACGACGTTATTCGATTTTTCATTTGCGAGTTCTTGGTTTAAGTCATCAATTTGACGCTCGAGACGGGTAACATTAAACTCGGCCATTGATTGCTTGTCCTTAGCTTCGCGTTCGGCATCTTGTGCTGTACTTAAATCTTTCTTAAGATTTTGGATAATATTATCGTAAGAAGCTCTTTCCTTTGAGAGAGAATGATTAAGCTCGGCAACCTTTTGTGCCATCGCATTGTTTTCTTCGCGTGTTTGCTTCAATTCGTTACGAAGAGCTTCTTTTGTACGTTCTGATATTTTATAGCGAGCATCAAGGTCAGCAGCTTCTTGCTGGACTTTTAAGAGTTCGCGTGTGAGTTTCTGGAAGTCTTCTTGAGAAATCTGAGCTTTTTCTTTTTGGTTTGCATCTTTTCCTTTATTTGCAGGCGCTGATGCTACACTTGCGATTGGAGCGATAGATTGTTGTGCTAATTTCGAAACCTGGTAGGCAAATGTTCTTATAACGAATTCCAAATCTGCTCGGTTTTCACGACTGTATTTAACGAATCCTTCCGTCTCAAATAACTTCTTCATTTTGATAGCAATGTCGCGGAGCTCTTCAGAGTCTCCAGCGAGTTTAATTAAGTCCGGAGGTTTATCGTTATCGAATTTTTTGGATGAAAGAAGCATTGGATTCATGATTAATGGATCAACCTCCTGGATGTCAAGAAGGCCATCATCATCGAGTGATGGAAACATCTCTTCCTCATTGTGGTCACCCATAATAAAAAATTTCCTTTACAAAAAAAATATTTTATAAAAAAAAATTGATGAAATGTAAACTTTTTTGAAGATTGAGTTAATAGCATACCGATCATCTAGTTATTCATGGTGATAGAAATAATCAATTAAAATCGATGAATCCTGTCATCTTTGAATTTTCGAATGAAAACTAAAGGTCATAAATTTCATGATTAATGTCATTTTCGTATGTGCTTTTATGTTTATGAATAAATGGTCGATGAATTTGAATTTCATGAAATGGCGCCAAATTCAACTATTTTCCTAAAACAGCTTACATGTCTATATAGAGAACTAATAAAAGGGTGACATCTAATACAAACTGCAATATCAAGAAAATTGCAAATTTAAATCATGAATAAAGAATAATATTAGTGGGATTGATTCTTACTATTCATTGTTTGTTGATGTAGATAAGTTATTACCTAGAATCTCGATGAAAATAAAGGGGGAACTTCGTCGACAACAAAGGTATCGACCAAAATTGTTCCCATTATGCTTGACATATAAAGTATAGTAATAGTGTGTATGGACTCATAGAATGGCTTTCGTCTGATTTCGAGATATAATATGATCTTCTAAAATATCCATATTTTACTTTATAGCGCATATGTTTTATCGAATTATGAAAATCAAACGAAAGCATGACTCAAGACGAGCAAAATTCGATGCTAAAAAAGTAAATTGTTTATTGATTAGGGTGCTTTCAGGTATTTTTTTGAAGAAACACTTTATTTGTTTTTCTTTCTACTTATGTATATAAAACATGCACAATTAAGGATTTATAATTAAAAATATTTTTCGAATTGGGTAAATAAATCGTTGGATCTTAGATTTTATTAATCACTCCTTCTTAAAATGAGACTGTAGTAATGGTAACTGTGTATGAGAGTTGGAGTATTGTTAAATTGCGCGAAATGTTGATAAGTTTCAAAAACGATTTACAGTATGTTCAAATATATTAGAATTTAATAATATGTGATAATATCGTCTGCAAACAATCGATTTTAAGTGATTGACGAAAATCGATATCAATAATTACAATTTTCGAGGGTTTTTTGACTGATAGCAATTGCTTTGGACACCTAGAATGAAGTCCTCCTTGGTGAATCCCTACAAATTTTTTTTCATTTTAGAAAAAGCCTAAGCAATTTTCTATAAAATGATAGCGTATTTTTTCAATTTTCAATTTTTTTGGAAAATTGAGGTGAATTTTTTTTGTAAATTTAAAATTTAGAGCGGGACGAAACAATTTTATTGCATTCCAAATCGACGAAGCATTTTCATTTTTGTTATTCTATAATTTTTCTACTAAAATATGTCAATTATACAGCAAAATCAAATAATTATTTTTCAAATATATAGAAAAGAAGTATTGGTCTAAAAATGAGTTTCCCCTTTTCAAATTATATAATGAGTAGATCGGGGGGACAAAAAACTGTCAAAAGCAGTAAAAAAAACATCAGTTTTATTCAAAAATAAATCATGTTAGATTATTGAGATTGAGAGTTTGGACCGGTCTTGCGCTTGGCATCTGGATTGACTGCAAGGAAGCGTTGGTTGTAGATTTTGCGAAGGCGAGCACGGCCACGAACTTCCTTAGGCTTGTCCATCTTTGGGACCTTTGGAGTGTTAGAGCGAACCTTGCCGGCTTGTGCAAGAGAACCATGAACTTTACCCATTTTAGAGAAATGACAAATTTATTGTTCTCAAAATTTTTCAACACAATTTCAAAAATTTTTTATAGAAAAAAATTTTGAGAAAAAAATGTTGATGGAGGAAGTTTTAAAGTCGGCAGAAATAACACTCAAAGGCTCGTTTCAATATAAAAACTAATTTTCCTTAAAATCTTTGATTTAGAATGCCTTTATTGAAAAAATTAAGGGTTGACCGACGTCCATTCAATTTTTGAGAGGGCATTCAAAATTTATTGATATTAAGTATCAAATATCTCGTTATCTATAATTTTTTAAAACATGGTTGTTTCAGATAATTTTTTACCTTAATGAGATGTATGCAACGAGAATGAATTTTCGGTCACAATTGTTATAGACCGAAAATAGATTTTTTCGGTTTTCTCTTCAAATAATTGAAAGAATGATACTATTATAGGTTTATTATATTATATAGCATATAATCATGCTATAGCCGAAAATTATAAGTTTTGAGAAGATTGAATATAACACAAATAAATTTGAATGTAAGTTAAATTGCTTGTTGTTTTTAATAGCTATTTAATGAGAAATCCAATATTGCAAAATTCAAATTGAATGATTGAAAGAACAGAAAAAGTCATTCTTTTCAATTTCGAATATGTTTCATTGTATTTATAATTATATGGCAAATAAGATATTTAAACTTAATTTTTGAAGGAAAATTCACAAAATTGAATAAATTCAAATAATTTTTATTCCAAAATAAACTAGTTATTTGAGTATAATACTAATTATCTATTCAAACTACAAAGTTTGTAATTTAAACTATTTTGTGAGATCAGATTGAATTAATTCAAGGTTCTTTTCAATTAATATTAATGACCATATTACGCATTTTCGAACATTCTAAACCAAATATATAAAAATGGGAGACAAATGTTAAATTTGCTAGACATGGGGGAGTTGTCTGCAAAGTTTTAGCTCTTATCTCTAACAAAAAATTAATTTTTAAAAAAATGACCGAATACGTTTCACAGCGAGAAAAAAATAAAAGGCAAGATAGAATTTTCTAGACATAAAGAAGTTGTTTACCGAGTTTTAGCTCTTATCTCTAACAAAAAATTAATTTTTAAAAAAATGACCGAATACGTTTCACAGCGAGAAAAAAATAAAACTGTACACTGATTTTCATTTTCATTTCCAGTCACTTTACTTATTATTTTTTCTTTTTTTCATTTTAATTATAAATTATTTCATAATTCGTTTATTTACGTTACCATTTTCTTTATTCTGTTGAATTCCATACTAGACACTTATAGAATATTTTGATTGTTAACGTACTTCATTAGAATGAATCCTTACAAAGGGTATGTCGATCGAATTTACCTAATTGGTATTTCCAATCAGATTGAAGAAGGTAAAATGACATGGGAAGAAGCTTGCACCCATGTTCCCATCGCCCCAACCCTCCAATCAAATGATTTAAAATATTTAGATGTTTCAAAATCTTTTTTACAAAATCAATTTAGCTTACAGAATATCCCATTGCCTAAAGGCAAGAAAGGTCGTAGGGTCAATCCCTACGACCAAATCAAAGCTCGTGCTGTGATACATGACCACTCGGCCTTTCCCTGTGGTCAAACAAAACAATGGAAACGTTTGAAATTACAACAAATTGATGTATCTTATAGAGAAGTACGCAGATACTTCAAAGAAAATCATTTCACCAAGACGCGATTAGAGCATGCCGGGCCAGAAACAGCAGTAAGATATTGGGCGCTTTCACCCAATCTTATCTGGCACGCAGATGTTCATTATTTTAGGGGTGTTCGTGGCCAGTATATTTATGGCATATTCAACGATTTTAGCCGCAAAGTCCTAGCGTGTATACAAATACCAGATATGCTGGCAGCGACGACAGCGAACGTTGCGGCTTCCGCCTTCATTGAATTTGGCGCCCCTTATTGTTTCTGGACCGACAACGGTTCAGAAAATAGGGGCGCCTTTCAAGATCTACTTGATCTTTAGGGCGCCCAATGGCGGCATACAGACTCTCATTCTCCCTACCAAAATGGGAAGATTGAGAGATTCTGGCCGACATTGGAGCGCTGCCAAAGCATTCAGGCTATTCCTGCCTTTATTTGGGAGTACAATAATAACACACCGCATGAAGATCTCCTAATTAATCCATTAACTGGAACAAATTACACGCCAAATCAAATGTATCAGCTGAAACGAAATACACAAATGCAGATACAGAAAGGTTGTGGCAAATATGGGATACAGATACAGGCATGACCGCTGTTGACACATTCACAGCGTAATAATAAACATAATTTTTTAATTTCATTTTTAACAAGTTTTTTTAAATGTATGTAATGAATAATTCATTAGAATATGATAATGCACATTGTAACAGAATAGAACAATCACCAAATTTTTTTTGAAATTATAAAATAAAAGTAAAAAGTATAAAGTAATCTAACCAAAAAAGATATTTAAAAGAATTTTGGAAAAAACAGAATAAGGATAATGATATTATTTTAGATACACAATCGATGTACTGAAGAATAATCCGGTAAAATGATGATATAAAATTAGATTATTTTACAAGTAGCTAAAAGAATAAAACTATAATATAAAATAAATGAAGTTTAATGAAACAATAAAGGTTAAATAAATAATAAAGATTTTTATTTTATATCAGTATTGAGAAGAAGTAACAGCTGACACTTGGTAGACAACTTCTTTATGTCTAGAAAATTCTATCTTGCCTTTTATTTTTTTCTCGCTGTGAAACGTATTCGGTCATTTTTTTAAAAATTAATTTTTTGTTAGAGATAAGAGCTAAAACTCGGTAAACAACTTCTTTATGTCTAGAAAATTCTATCTTGCCTTTTATTTTTTTCTCGCTGTGAAACGTATTCGGTCATTTTTTTAAAAATTAATTTTTTGTTAGAGATAAGAGCTAAAACTCGGTAAACAACTTCTTTATGTCTAGAAAATTCTATCTTGCCTTTTATTTTTTTCTCGCTGTGAAACGTATTCGGTCATTTTTTTAAAAATTAATTTTTTGTTAGAGATAAGAGCTAAAACTTTGCAGACAACTCCCCCATGTCTAGCAAATTTAACATTTGTCTCCCATTTTTATATATTTGGTTTAGAATGTTCGAAAATGCGTAATATGGTCATTAATATTAATTGAAAAGAACCTTGAATTAATTCAATCTGATCTCACAAAATAGTTTAAATTACAAACTTTGTAGTTTGAATAGATAATTAGTATTATACTCAAATAACTAGTTTATTTTGGAATAAAAATTATTTGAATTTATTCAATTTTGTGAATTTTCCTTCAAAAATTAAGTTTAAATATCTTATTTGCCATATAATTATAAATACAATGAAACATATTCGAAATTGAAAAGAATGACTTTTTCTGTTCTTTCAATCATTCAATTTGAATTTTGCAATATTGGATTTCTCATTAAATAGCTATTAAAAACAACAAGCAATTTAACTTACATTCAAATTTATTTGTGTTATATTCAATCTTCTCAAAACTTATAATTTTCGGCTATAGCATGATTATATGCTATATAATATAATAAACCTATAATAGTATCATTCTTTCAATTATTTGAAGAGAAAACCGAAAAAATCTATTTTCGGTCTATAACAATTTTCGGTCACAATATTGTTCTATAAAAATTTCAAAATTTTTCGATTTTTCTTTCGATTGGAAAAAATTTTTATGGATAAATTTTTTACAGAAATACTATGGAATTTTTAGATAAAAACAGTGACATATCATGCATTATTGTACCCTTGATATAATGCAACAGATAAATCAGAAAAATAATGAGGTCGAAAAAACTCAAAAACGTTGACCGACCTCTTTTTATCAAAACACCGCTACACATCATAGATCATTTTGCAACAGCGCTCCTCCGCGGATTCGACATATTTAATAAATTAGCAAAAAAAGTATAAATCGTACTATTCGAATAGCACAATAGAAAGAATGAATATTAACAATTGTGTTTTTGATGATTAAAGGTTTGAAAAAGATAGTTTGAAAATAAATTTTTTTGTTTTGATTTTTTTCTATAAAAATTTTCTTTATTTTTAAAAAACTCCTCCATTTTGGAATGTTGCTAGAATTACAAACGGCAAAAAGAATTAATTATTGCTGAATATATATTTATTCCGTTCCAAATTGAAGTGTTTTGCAAAATGAGAATAATATCCCAAAGTTTTTTTGTATTAATCTTATAATCAAAATATTGATTCCTAACACCATATATCCATGTGTAACAGATTTTATAGAATAGTAATTCAAGCTGAATTATTCAGATATTGAAATCTGATCAATATCTAATAATACAGATGGTATATTCAAATAGTTGTTTAAAAATGAATAGCTTCTTTGTATAAAAATGAATATTTTGTCACAAACTTTATATCATTCCCATTATATTTATTTCAGTAAAATTTATTGGCACTATATACAATTTTGGAAAATTGAATATCATTTTATTACATATGTACTAATTTAATAAATGATCAAATTGCCAAAATCTTGAAATCGATTTCTAAAGTTGCTCAAAAATCGGAATACGTACAATTAATAATATCTTCATATGATGTTATTTGATTTGGTATACGAATTTTTTTCGCCGACATACCTTCCTGAAAAGATACGAACGATTTCGTTAATTTTTAAAAATTTGACATTGTTTATCTTAGCAAATGAATGTTAATTCTATTTTTGTAGAAATTATCATCAAAAAACTGTTTTGTAAAATTCGATTTCAATTGGAAAAAAGTAAAAAAAGAAATATGCATCAGAAATGAACCAAGTTTAGTTGGTGTCTAAATATTTGCTAGCATTGATTTTAACGACTGAGTTATAATATCGAAGCTGATGCGCGAGAATTTCAGATATTTAATGATTCACCATCCAGTTTCCATTCTTTGTATAAAAATAGGAGATGAAAATTTTCATTAATACTCCTAGTAATTTAAAAATAATAAAAATTCTTTTGATTTTTCAACATAATGGAAAAAAATATTAAAAATAATCGAACAAATTAGTAAACAAGACATTTATTTCACAATATTTCTCAATATTTATAACGCTTACTGCGAGAATTCTAGTCAATGTATTTCATTCTTGGGAATAAAATAAATAAATTTGGTATTTTAATAGTTTGAAGCAACTACATTTAAAGAGGTTGCACAGGTGTTTTGCAGACAAGAAATAATAATCGCATGGGATTTGTAAATTTTAATTATATGAAATTGATTTAGACAATCGCGGTTAACAATAGAACAGTCTGCAAACAAATAGTATGGAAATCATTAACAATATGCAAAATCTAGAATAGATTGATGTTTATTGTAAATTTTATTCAATTACGGTAAATTTTGGAATTTTACGTGCTAAAATATATTGCAATCTAGGATTTGTAGTATTTGATACTAAAATAACGAATATTTTTGCTTGTTTTCTCGCATAATTTTAATATGATTGTAAAAAATTATGAGTTACGATCCTGAAAATCAATAATTTAACACCTCTCGACGAACCCTTTTAAATGGACACAAGTCAATTTTTTTGAGTTTTCGAGGGTATTTTACCAAGGCTTAAAATGAAATATTTACATTATTCATATTTTAAACTTATTTTTCAATTGGAAAGAAATAAGGTAGTTACTTGGGTTTATTTGAAGTTAGTAAAAGTTTAATGTTGATGATCAAAATCATTCCAAAATTGAAATTATAATAAAATTCTCAATTGTAATTTTGTCCTTCTGTCTATAAAATTATTGGACAATATCAAAAAGCTTAAAATAAATAATAAATACAGAAATGCTTACATTTTTGTTGCAAAAAGCTTTTCTTGAACTTCCGATATACGTTTTCTACTCATACAAAGCCTTTGAGTGTTATTTCTGCCGACTTTAAAACTTCCTCCATCAACATTTTTTTCTCAAAATTTTTTTCTATAAAAAATTTTTGAAATTGTGTTGAAAAATTTTGAGAACAATAAATTTGTCATTTCTCTAAAATGGGTAAAGTTCATGGTTCTCTTGCACAAGCCGGCAAGGTTCGCTCTAACACTCCAAAGGTCCCAAAGATGGACAAGCCTAAGGAAGTTCGTGGCCGTGCTCGCCTTCGCAAAATCTACAACCAACGCTTCCTTGCAGTCAATCCAGATGCCAAGCGCAAGACCGGTCCAAACTCTCAATCTCAATAATCTAACATGATTTATTTTTGAATAAAACTGATGTTTTTTTTTTACAACAAATCTTAAACAAGAAATTATTAGTCATTTCTAGTAACTCAATATTAGTCTATTGTGTGGGTGTCCTTTTATTCATTATTTGTTATGTGATGAATTGATGTTTCAGTCAATCAGATTTCATTATAGCATACAAGTTGATTGAATACATACATTGTCACTTATTTCTAATTGATTTGTTTTTAGATAATGTTTAAACACAGTATATATATTTTTAACTGCAACCGACGTTCTTTTGTCACCACAATGTATCAAGAAGGTCATTTGCCTATAAATAGATGATGCATGGATTCAATCTATTAACTTATCATGAATTTATCAAATTCAGAAGAATTTTCTGCAAAGATTCAATATTTCGGCATTTTGTGAAGATAAATCGATATGGATTGGATGTACCAATATTTTTGAATTATCCAAAAAGTAATATCAAATTTTAACGTGTGTAAAAAATGTCGACATCGAACCGAGATATTATTGGCATGCTCCAACGATTAGTCGATGTTATTAACGTTAATATCGCTGATGAACCAGAGGAGCAGACTCGAAAGCCAGTGGTAAAGAAGTCTTCGAGATCTCCAAAATCAAAACCAAAATACAAGACAGTTCCTGCGAAAAGAAAGTCATCACCACCAAAAAGAAAGTCTAAACCATCTCCAAAGCAATTCTTATGGCAAGATGAGCTGAATTCCTCACCAAAACAATCAAAACCAATAAAACGCAAACCATCGGCCAAAAAACGCATTGAGTCGCCACGAAAACTGTTTATGCTAGATAAGCCTAAGTTACATGATGCATCTACACAAACTTCGAAAGCATTGATTCTCGATGATGACGAATTTGTGAATGAAATTAAAGAATTTTCTGAAGGAAGAATGTACAGTTTATCTCTAGATTCTAATCTATCTATCAAATCCCGATTTTTCAATATCTGGGTGACTAGATGGTATCGTATCAGCGCCTCAAACGTTAGAAAAGTAATTGGAATGAATATTGCTAACAGAAAGAGAGCCTCAAGTGCATCGGAGAACTCCAAACAGCAAACAGAACAAGTAACGGAACAACCGAGACGTAAACCATTATTTGATGATGAAGTATCTCCAATAAACAAGAGATCACCAAAACAATCTCAAAAATCAACATCTCCTCACAAATTATTCGACTTCAACTCCGACGATTCAAGTGATCCTGAATTCCACGAGCAGTTACGCAAGATTGCCGAACAGTACAATCATAAGAAGGAGCAGCAAAGTCAAAGCACTTCTCCACAGAAATTATCTCTTTCTCCAGCTGCATCCTACAACAAATCACAAGATAAAGAACATTTATCTCTCACGGATTCAGATATCGAGCCACCGCCAGCACCTCGCCGTTCAAAGAACAGTTCTCTCATGGAGCAGGTTCAGGAAGCCAATGAAGAGGAAGAGGAAGAAGATTCATCAGCATTCCAAGAGTTGAATGGTTCATCAGGCGAAGAAGAAGAGCCACAAAAGATTCCTCCTCTTGATTTAGGCAAAGTCACCAAGAAGTCTCCTGTCGTTCCTCCACTCAACATCGCTAAAGCAATCGAAAGAAAAGTTGATTTAGAAGATGATGAAAAAGTCCAAAAGAATGATAAAAAGAAAGATGAAGACAAGAAGTCAAAGAAGGATAAACATGACGAAGATGATGAAATTGAAGATAAGAAATCTAAGAAGGACAAGAAGAAAGATGAAGAAGACAAAAATTCAAAGAAAGACAAGAAGAAGAAAGATGATGAAGATAAGGATGAGGACAAGAAATCAAAGAAAGACAAAAAGAACAAGAAGAAGAAAGATGATGAAGACGAAAATGAGGACAAGAAGTCTAAGAAAGACAAGAAGAAAGATAAAATAGAAGACGACGAGGATGAAGATGAAGACAAGAAATCAAAGAAGGATAAGAAGAAGAAAGACAAAAAAGACAAGGAAGATGACGAAGACAAGAAGTCAAAGAAGGACAAGAAAGACAAAAAGAAGAAAGATAAAGTCGAAGAAGATGAAGATGAGGATGAAGATGAAGACAAGAAATCCAAGAAAGATAAGAAGAAGAAAGACAAGGTAGACGATCAAGATAAGAAATCCAAGAAAGACAAGAAGAAAGATAAAGATGAGGAGGATGAGGAAGATGAAGATAAGAAGTCAAAGAAGGACAAGAAAGACAAGAAGAAAGATAAAGATGAGGAGGATGAAGACAAGAAATCCAAGAAGGATAAGAAAGATAAAAAGAAGAAAGATAAGAAAGATGACGAAGATAATGATGAAGATGATGAAATTAAAGAAAAGAAAGATAAGAAGAAAGACAAAAAAGAAAAAGATGGAGATAAGAAATCAAAGAAAGATAAGAATGACAAAGATGATGATGTGAAAGACAAGAAGAAAAAGAAAGATAAGAAGAAAGATGATGAAGACAAAAAGTCTAAGAAGGATAATAAGAAGGACAAAGATGAAGATAAAAAGAAAGAAGAAAAGGAACAAAAGAAATCTGATGCAAAATCTAAAGATACAAAATCAAAGGATGAAAAGAAATCCGATTCAAAAGATAAAGATGATAAAAAGAAAGACAGTAAACTAAAGGAAGATAAGAAACCTGAGGATAAAAAGAAGGATGAAAAAGCCAAATCTCCTTCAAAAGATGATAAGAAACAAAAGGAAGAAAAGAAAGAGAAAGAAGACAAGCTAAAGAAAGAAGAGAAACCTTCCAAATCTCCTTCAAAAGAAGAGAAGAAACAAGAAGTAAAATCTCAACCAGTTCTAGAAAATAAATCGAATGATATCCCTCGTCTTAACATCAGCATTGGTTCAAGCTCTGAAGATGATAATCCTCCATCACAACCAATTCCTTCTCTCAACTTACCAGCACAGATTGTTGATGATGACGATGAAATTGAAATTAGAAGAGGCCCTCCAAGCGAAGATTCCGATTCATTCAATATTTATGAAGTCATTGAAGACAGCAACAGCCAACCAGTAGTTGCAGAAGTTGTTCAAGATGATGTTCCTGCTAATGAAGAAGAGGAATTCTTCGAAGAGGAAGAAGAACACAGCCAAACACTTCAAGAAAAACTTGGTGAACAATTCTATGATTTTAACAAACTCGGAAACAGCAGTACTGAAAGTGACAGTTTCGCCCAAAACGAAGCATTCGCACAAATGATGTTTGAAGAAGATGATGCACAAGACAAACCAAGAGCAGTTTTTGATGCTGATGAAACTCACTCCGATGGAACAGCAAAAATTATTTCCACTTCTAAAGAAGAAGAAGAGGAAGAAAATGATATAATTGCTGTTGACAGTGATGTTGATGATGTTGAAGTTGTAGACGAGCCAGTCGAAGAAATCAACAATCAACAGACAGAAAAGCCAGTTTCCAGTGAACCTGTTCAAGAAAGCAAGGAAGAAAATGAAGAGCCAATCGAAGAAAACTTATTTGACGATAATGATATCGAAGAAGAGGAAGAAGAAAAGAAGGAAGAAATCAAACCTCAGCCAGAACAAGTTCAAGAAGAAAGACATATTCCACATAGACTTAATACAGAAGATATGATTAACAAGAGAATTGAAGAAAGGATGAAACAATTACAGCAATTTAGCCAAAGAGATTCATCAGATATATCAGACTCTGATAGCGAAATTGATGATGAACCACCAGCTCCAAGATCTCAATCTCCTCAACAGCAAGCTGCAGAAGAAACAAAGAAAGACGCTCCAAAATCTCCGGTTTCAAGTGACGAAGAATTTGAAATTGACGTAGATGATGAGGACGAACCAGCTGTCATCCAAAAGTCTCCAATCAATTCCAATACTCCATCTTCACCTGTTATATCTCCTCAGCAGAAAATAGTTGAAGAAAAGAAAGCTCCAAAGTCTCCTGTTTCAAGTGATGATGAATTTGAGATCGAAGTAGATGATGATGAAGTTGAAGAAATCAAAGAAGAAATTAAGCCACAAATTCAACCAAAAGTTGAAGAAAAGAAGCAAACTCCAAAGAGTGACAACTCAGAAGGTGATTTCGAATTTTTAGATGACAATGAAGAAGAAAAGGACCGTCCAAGAGCACAAGTTGCTCCCCACCACCTCAGCGATAATGAAGAAGTTATTATTGAAAGTGATAATCCTATAGACATTATTGAGGATGAAGAAAACAATAATAATGATGTTTTCTTTACAATGCCAAACCTCAACAAATCAAAAGGTAACAATAAAGTGACTGCTCCTCCAACAGTTATTCCAAAAGTAGATATTTCACTTGGAAATAACGAAGACTTAAACAACGTCAGCAGCGATAACATTGTTGTTGACATTTCTGATGGAGATAAAATTGAACAACCATCCTTTGATTTTTCAGATAGCGATGGTATACAAATCGACATCATTGATGAACAGCCGCAAAAGGCCTCTGTCCAAGTTCAACAAAAGCAACCTGAAAAGCCAAAAGAAGAGCAGAAACAAGTACCTCCACTTCAAAAGAAGAGCACTTTTGATGCGATTTCTTTCGATGAAGATTCTGATATTGGCGATATAGAGATAGATATTGGCGAAGATAATGATATAAATGATAACAAGCCAATTAATACTTTTGCTGATCTTGGAAAGTTACCTTCTCCAAAATCTTCTCATACCAAGAAACAAGAAGTTAAGAAACCTGTCAATCAGATCGAAGATATTGTTATTAGCAGTAGCGGTGCTGATTTAGACGATGGATGGCAATTAGATGCCAATGATGATTTAGGAAAAGAGAAATCCAGTGATAACTCAGATGATTATTTTGTATGATGTAGTTAAATACTTTACTTTATTTTGTGTTTTTATATGAAAAATTTACTAATAACTTACTCTATAAAAAAAAAAAGGTAGTGGGGCTTCCAGGCGCGTTGCGCCCTCTAGCCCCGAAGATGTTTAGTATAAATGAAGTTTTTATTCGGAAAATTGTTAGTCTTCTGGGTCGAAAACATTATATAATGTGTCGCTTTTCACAAATTATATATGTTTTCATGTTTTGTCACTTTTCTGTCACTTTTCAGGAAAAAACATTTTTATTATTATATATAAATGAATTTTACAAAACCACCGTTACCGTTCTTTGGAAATAAGAGTAAATGTAAAGATATTATATTGAGAGAACTTAAGAAACTACCGAATGGTCTAACATTTGTAGATTTGTTCGGTGGAAGTTTCTATATATCCCATTTGTGCCATACAATATTCCCAGACTCAAAGATTATATGCAATGACTTCGACAACTATATGGACCGTCTCAAACATATACCAGACACAAACAATATATTGAAAGCGTTAAAAGAAAAGATACCTATAGGTAAGATGGAACGTATACCATTAGATAAGAAAAATATTGTGAGAGAGGTTTTGAAAAAAGCAGAATATATAGACTGGGATAGTATATCTGCTAGACTATTATATAGTGGTTCTATAAGAGTTCATGACATTGAAACACTTATGTCAAAAGTTTTATATCTTAACTATACAAATGTTTTCAAAGAGGACATAGAAAAATATATTGAGGGTATAGAGTTTGTGAGATGTCATTGGACAGAGTTGTATGAAAAATATAAAGACAAGGAAAATGTTTTCTTTATAGTGGACCCGCCGTTCTATAACACATGGGATTTTCAATACCAAGTAGACTGGACTTTGAGAGACTCTTTAGAAACTTTAGACGTTTTACATAACCATCCATGCTTTTACTTTACATCCGATAAAAGTGGTTTGGAAACCGTTATGAGATGGTTAGAGGACATACATGACTATGAGTTTAGATATGACAAGATAGAATATGAGAGAGGTCCTATAAACCGGAGAAAGTGTCATAACAAAGAAATTTTATTAGTAAGTAAATGTGGTTTGAAATAGGACTACTTGTTTTAGGTTTTTTCCATTGTGTCATTTATTTATTTGACGTGGCAGAAAAGTACAGAGAATATGAAGATGAACCAATGCCTGCAAATGTTCAGCATATGTACTCGTAAGAGATATTTTTATCTAATATTAAATGGACGCACAGAACTTAGCGAATGCACAGCAACCTGGACAACCAAACCCAGAGAATATTCCAAATGAAGTTAGAATACACAAACTGCAATGGCAAACTATGGTCAAGTGCCAACAGATGTACAAATGCAAACTGCCATGTCAAATGACGCTGCGTTAGGTTTGCCACCATGGTATGCAAATATGAGATGGAAAGAGTTTTATACAAACCCTGAAGTGGGATATAAACAACTTTATGCAGATGACGCGAACACAGGAGTTGACCCAGAATATGTTTTCTACCAGAGGAGAAACAGAATTATGAGCTCCAGTTAAAGAATGCTATGGAACTCAACAGGAAACGTAAGAACTAGGTGGACATTAGATTTTTTACACGTAGTAAATGGGTTTCTTCAGTAGTATTGGAAACTTCTTCAGAAGAGTTGGAAGAGGTATATGGAATGGAATAAAAACCGTAGGAAGAGGAATTTGGAACGGAGTCAAAAATATTGGTAAAAGAGTAGGTCAGTTCGTTGGTATTATACCTAAAGACCCTGAACCAGAAGAACAAGCTCCTGTTATACAACAGCCTGAACCTGCACCACAGTCAAGTTGGCAACCAAATCCAACACCTCAACCGTATTAAAAAATTATATTTTTACCGTTCGATAGTAATTGTATATGAAACTAAGTTCTAAGTAAAACGCATGTATAATGGAATTATTCTTTTTCTTCCATCTGTTGTAAACCATACTTGAAAGTCTGAAATACTTCCACTCGGCGGTTCATATAACTTTGTAGGTTTTTCGTAAAAATCATTCATCAGACATAAGAAAGAGTTTTGTGCACCAGAAAATGAAGCATGAACGATAATAGCATCTGGGTCGAAAACATTTTCATATGTTCCATTAGGGTTTTCGACTTCATAAAAGTCCGGGTGTACTGGATATTCTGCAGGCTGATTTAACATCCTCATAAATCTATACCATGCCAAGTTGTTATATTTTGTAGAAATATAAACGTTTTCTCCAAGGTCTTCTATTCTATTGATTTTAACAGTTGCATTTTTCCTTGTCATAAATAATATCGAGATGGTATTCTCCTTCGTCAATGTTATACTGCTTTGCATATTCGATATAGATATCGTTTATTTTTTCTTGAAAGCTTGAAGAGTTGTTTCTAAGTTTACAAGCAAATTCACTTGTAAAAGTTTTCCCTGTTCAAATTTCTCATACATACGTTTTCTTTGTTATAGTATCGAACTTCAAAAACCGACTGTAAATGGGAAACCATGTATGGCTTCTGAAATGAACTTCATTCTACGAAAGCCAATAGCTTTTGTGACGGATGGGTCTCTTAACCATCTTAACGGGTAGTCAAAACGATAGCCTTCATGCTTTACGGTCTCTGTCTCAAACTTTTGACCGACATTAGTAAAAAGTTCATCTAATGGTTTAGTTGTAGCAACTCTAGAATTTTCTTTTTCTATTGAAAGCATATTTTATCTATAATAAAAATGTCAAATGAAACAGCGTCTATGAGAGAAATACAACACAACCGACAACTCATTATACAAGCTCTAAATAAGAACACAACAAACTTTTCAAACTATTCTAAGATATCTGAGTCATTGAAAGAAGGAAACTTAAAACTGACATTAAACCCAATGACAGATGAGTTTCTGTTTCAAGACAATAAGAACCATACTGTCTGTATAAATCCAACAAAAGGAACTTTAAACGAGAAACCTATAAATGAACTTCTTTTTGAAAACAGATGTTGAAACAAAGCTGACAAAGAATATGTAGACGATGCAATAGCAAAAGAAGAAGAAAGAGCTAACAAAGCTTATGCAACAAAAGAACATACTCATCCTGAACTAGCAGACAAAACATATGTTGACAATAAAATGTCAAGTGAAGTGACAAGAGCTGAAAACGAATATTCTAAAAAGACTCATATACATTCTATATCTGATATTACAAACTTACAAGAAACCTTAAACAGGAAAAGTGCCGTTGGACATACACATACCATTGCAAATATTACAAACTTACAAGAAACCTTAAACAGGAAAAGTGCCGTTGGACATACACATACATCTTCTGAAATAACAGACTTAAACATTAGCCTTGAAAAGAAAGCAGATAAGAACCATACACATGAATTCTTCACAACTGTTGGTATAGAAAGTATTGAAGGAACGGTTGAAGAACCTGATGGGGATGTATTATATTGGAAACCTCCTAACTTTCCACAAGGTTTAACATCGGATGAAAACATAACAACGATGAAATACATTAGATGTAGAAATGTTTATGTCATGGAGGATGAAATAAAGTTAAATTCACTGCTCAAGATTTATATGATAAGAAAGCAGACAAAACAGAGCTTCAAACATTAAAGACAGAAATACTTCAAACATTATATCCTATAGGCTCTATTTATACGTCAATGAACTCTACCAGACCAGAAGTAGTACTTGGTTTTGGAACTTGGACTCAAATAGTCGACAGGTTTTTGTATTGTGCAAACTCTTCAAAGGAAACAGGTGGAAGTAAAACGATTTCAGGTGAAATTTACCTGCACACAGTCACTACATAGATTTAAGTACATCTCAAGCAGGTTGGCATAAGCATAGATATTGGGATGGTCAGCAATGACAAAAGGTAAAGGATATGATGTTAAAGACAACGTTAAGTTTGCTATAAATTGTTACTGGAGTAACACTGAGGGAGGAGGAACCATACACATCGCGTTTCAGGATTACGCAAACAACGGGACAAAGTAAAGACTACATGCCACCTTACATGACAGTTTACGCATGGTATAGAATTGCTTAGTCGTCATGTTCCACTTCTTTAGCATATTCGTCAGGAGTTGTCTTATATTTGTTAGGAACTGTCTTTGAAAGTATACCACCTTGAACTTTGACAAGTTTGAAACGAGGTCTGACAATAGTAGTTTTATCTTCTGCTTGCAGTCTGTACATTTTGCCATGTTTGCCTAAAACTTCATAATATTCTCTTGTATACTTTCTTCTATTTTTACGAACACGAATGTGAGTACCTGTCGGGTTCCCATTGTTGTCATAGTCAATAGTATTTTCATATGGGTCGCGTTTAGGTATTTCTATTTTTACTTTGTCACCTTTCTGAAGTTTGAAGCCCGGCATTCTTTCTTGTTTGTCTCTTTTGACTAAATTATTAAATATATAGTCTTTCTCTAAGTCAGGGTTGTTTTTCATTTCTTCGGGGGAGTGGTTTCCCAAACCTTTTTGTTTACGGTTATTGTAAATATTTAAAACTTGTCTCATCTTTGCCATGGAGAAGTGTCTATATTTGTCGTCATATGACATTTCATTTGCTTCACCACCTTGTGGTTGGTTTAAGTCTCTTAACATTTTTATACAACCGTCAATGACACCAAGAGCAGAATGGTTTTGGTCGACAATGAAATATTGGTTTACATTTTTTGAACGCAGATAGTTTTTTACATCATCTGATTTGAAAGAACTTTCACAGTCAGATGTCAGTTTTGTTGGATGGTATTTGTCAACGAATATTGTCAAAGCAGTTTTCACATCTAAAATATTTTTGGACCATAATGGTATGGCTTCACAGTATCTTGTGTTTTGACCGACAAATATTAGCCAGTATGGTGGTCCATCTGTTCTAACTCTCGGAATGTTTTCCAAGATATCCATAAACCAAGCATTTGGTGTTGAACTAAAGATTTTTACCATGAGTGCTTTCTTTGTCGCTTTAGAAACATAGGGGTCCTTGTTTGGATTCGTCATTTTTAACCCATAAGAAATGGGTTTATTTGGCGCATTAGCAGGAGTTGCATCCAGATTTTTGCCCGCAGTGGGAACAATAGCCAGAGGTGTATTTGGAGTTGGAAGGAAGATTTTGAGTACATTAGGTATACTTAAAGAGAAAGCACAACCTATTATACAAACTGTACAGAAAGGTTGGGATGTAGCACGAGATGCAACAAATCTTATTCCAAATCCTGAAACAAGAGGAAAAGTTCAAGGATGGATGGACAATGTAGGAAGACAAGCAGGAAACTATTATAACAAAGCAAATGACTACTATAACCAAGCAGGACACTATATGGACCAAGGTGAAAGATTCTTTAACAGAGGATATAACCATGCACAACAGTGGGTAAACAATAACCAACCGCAACCACCTCAAACTTGGGGAATGTAAAATTTTTTACTGAGATGAAATGAACAATACAGCATTGAGACAAATGGGTTCAAGATGGATTTGTCGGCTTCCAGCAGTTACACAACGTGTTTGTCAAGTTCTTCCTATACCTCAGGAAGTTTTAGACCGACTTAAAAAACCTAAACAACCAGTTGAAAACAAACCAAACTAAAATTTTTTACTGAGATGAAATGACCGAAGAAGTTGAAACGGTAGATTTGACACCACAAACAAAAAGTTCAGAACCATTGTCAAAACCTGTCAAAGAACTTACAGATGAAGAGAAAAATTCAATAATAGAAAGTGCCAGATCTGGAAATACAAACCCTAACTACAAAGTCACTTTTCATAAAAATGGAACGGCTAGTATCTCAAAAAAGAAACAGACTCTCACAAATAAAATATTGAAGTCTGAAGGAGCTTTCGAGACAACAGATGGAAAAGTTTACTTCACTGACCAACAGTTCATTATAGAACATCTCATTGACTTAGAGTCGAAATATTCTAAACTTTACAACAAACACAAAAAGTTGAAAGGAAAACAAAAACAAATGGCATATGATATTTATGAAGATGTTGACGACACAACTGTTCCTGCAAGTGAAGTAAAGTCAGAGAAACCGAAAAGTGACGAAAAACCGATAGAAGAAGAAAAACCAAAAACTGAAGATAAACCAAAACCAAAGTTTAGTTTGGAAACTAAACCAAGTCAACCTTCATTAGCTGGTATGGGTTGGCGTCAAAGACTTATGGCAGCAGGCGGTTATGTAAAGTAAAGAAAAAAAATTTTTTTATTTTTATTTGAACTGTACGCTGAGTTTGTTGGAGAAGACCGTTGGGAAACTTGTTTGTTAGATGAGAAATATGAAATGGCATACCATTTTAAAACAATATATTTTTACATATATTAAATGCTTCAGGTTGAAAAACAAAGAACAAAAGTAGTAGATACAAAACCGTTAGACTATATCTTTACAAATGCTGGTAGGACTATTTCAGATGAAGAAATTTCATCCCGAGCATACAGGTTTGACTATCCAATTCGTTGGCTTCAAAGTCCTTCAGATGCAAAGGCAATAGGATTTAGAAGAGTTTTGTTTTCAAATAGAACTAACGCATTTATGTTCGCAGTATATTTTCATGGGCAGTATAAAGGTTCTGATGGTCTAATAGACAAATTTGACGAAATGAAAATCTTTACAATTCGTTCAGACGAAAGTCTTGAAAAAACTCTAAATGACTTTCAAACTCAAATGAACAAATATTATTGGGAATTTCAAGAAAAATACGACTCTTTACTAAATGGAACATACTATCTGAAACTAGAATATGACAAGATGAACTCCACCGTTTCATTTCAAAAGATTGAAATTAACCCTCCAAGAGATACAGAGTTTTTATTTTGGGGAGTAGACAAACGTTCTTGGGCACAATTTCTTCGGTTACTAAACCAGAACGAACCATTACCACCAGATGGTCCATTTAAATTTATACTTCCACCAGCAGATTTGACAGTTTATAGAAACGTGTTTGACCCTCAAAATGTTATGTGCCATGCAAGTTTCAGTTCAAGCAACAATAGTTTTCTATGTATTGGTAAGGACTTTTATGACTTTGCTTCTAAATTCTACGAACCACCTAGTAACAGTTTCTCTGACTTTCAAGTTTGGTTCACAACAAATGGTGTGCAACATATTCTTCCATTGTACTATGACTTTTATCTCGAATTGTCTTTCATATATAACTACGGAAAAGTGCTGAAAAAGTATTGAAAAATATATTTTAGGTGAAGAGGTTAGATCTAACACGTTTTCTAACCACTTTTCTAACATCGTAGAAAACTCATGAAAACAATTTATTTTAAAACTTTCACAAAAAACATAAAAAAGTGAAGTTAAAATGAGATGTTTACTGAACTGGTTGGATGTCGCCTTCTGAGGTTATGTAGAACGGCTGACCCGAGAAGTGAAGGAGAGACTGAATTGCCAATTTCATATGGGGTAGGGGGTTCTCTCTGTTTGGTATTTTTATCCAAGGACGTTTGTTTAGGAACTTAACAAGAGCTTCTCTTTTGGCGTCCTTTATGTCGTCGAAAGGAGTGTTTTCTGGTATTTGAATTGGAATTCCGGTCGAAGTCTCGAGATTCAAGACAGCCCTTCCAGAAATAGTGGTGAACTTGACCTTGGGCTTCATGACCTTGCGCAAGTAGTCTTTTACGCAGTCGTTAATTTAAATTAGGTAAATTGCCTCGTCAAATCCTTCTGGCATTCCGAGTCCTTCCATCCGACAGAAAAAGTTTTTCCCGACAACTGGAAAAAATTTTCCTTCCAACAGGAAAAAATTTTCCGGACAAAAGAAAAAATTTTTCCTTCCGACAGGAAAAAATTTTCCAGTTGTCCGTCCGTAAACCATTCAAATTTTCGAAAATTGAGAACTTTTTGGTCGAACTTCAGAAAAAGTTTTTCCTTCCGACAGAAAAAGTTTTTCCTTCCGACAGAAAAAGTTTTTCCTTCCAACAGGAAAGGTTTTTCCATCCGACAGGAAAGGTTTTTCCATCCGACAGGACACAAACAGATGACTGACGTTCCACCAACCGAGTCCATTCCCAAACCAGAGGAACCTAAAGAACCAGCCCCTGCACCTCAGTTCCAGCAAGTACCTCCGAATTTCTACCAATTTCCACCTCAAGGTTACTACCCACCACAAGGCTTCCCGAACTACCCTCCTCTGCCTATGCCTTACTGCCCCAACCCTTGGATGTTCCAGCAAGCTCCACCCCAGCAATTCCAATCTCAGTCCAAATCGAAGAGAGACCAAGAGTTCGAAGAAGGTCTGAACCGCTTACGCAAAGAGTATGCTACAGCTCCAATTGAGAGAAAGTTGTTCCCGGACCAAAAATATAATTTAGGTGAAGAGGTTAGATCTAACACGTTTTCTAACCACTTTTTTCACCTCTTGAATTTTCATGAATTTTCCCGAAATAAAAAATAAAGTTAGTTTTATTTTGTATGTAAAGATATGATTTCAGGGATTTTTTTGACGAAGTGCAAACGTTCACTTCGTCAAAAAATAACAGTTATATAATGAAAAAGTGTCATTTTTTGTATTTTTTTGTATTTGACGAGAATGTCGGGTAGAAGGTTAGATCTAACCTGTTTTCTAACCTGTTTTCTACCCTCTTGAATTTTCATGACTTCTTCGTAAATGTTTTGTCAAGACTTCTTCGTAATGAGTGTAAAGGACCCAAAAATATAATTTAGGGTAGATGGTTAGATCTCACCTGTTTTTTCACCTCTTTTTTCACCTCTTGAATTTGTCATGACTTCTTCGTAAATGTTTTGTCATGACTTCTTCGTAAATGTTTTGTCAAGACTTCTTCGTAAATGTTTTGTCAAGACTTCATCGTAATGAGTGTAAAGGACCCAAAAATATAATTTAGGGTAGAAGGTTAGATCTAACCTGTTTTCTCACCTGTTTTCTAACATGGTCTAAAACTCTCGAAAATCATGAATTTTCATGAATTTCCTTAAGATAGAAAAAATAAAGTTAGTGTCATTTTTTTGTATTTTTTTGTATGTAAAGATATGATTTCAGGGATTTTTTTGACGAAGTGCAAACGTTCACTTCGTCAAAAAATAACAGTTATCTAATGAAAAAGTGTCATTTTTTGTATTTTTTTGTATGTAAGATATGATTTCAGGGATTTTTTGACGAAGTGCAAACGTTCACTTCGTCAAAAAATAACAGTTATATAATGAAAAAGTGTCATTTTTTGTATTTTTTTGTATTTGACGAGAATGTCGGGTAGATGGTTAGATCTAACACGTTTTCTAACCTCTTGAATTTGTCAAGACTTCTTCGTACATGTTTTGTCAAGACTTCTTCGTAAATGTTTTGTCAAGACTTCTTCGTACATGTTTTGTCAAACATGAACGTACATGCTTTGTCAAGACTTCTTCGTAAATGTTTTGTCAAGACTTCTTCATCGTAATGAGCGTAAAGGACCCAAAAATATAATTTAGGGTAGAAGGTTAGATCTAACCTGTTTTCTACCCTCATTTCTACCCTCGTGAATTTTCATGAATTTTCCCGAAATAAAAAATAAAGTTAGTTTTATTTTTATTTATTTTTTTATTTTGTATGTAAGAACAGAAATGTCAACAATCGGCACAACAACAATTCAAACAACTACAGCACCAAACTCGTTAGTCATGAATCCTACGTCAATGTTGGTAGAGATGAAAAGCTTCATTCCTTCTTCATATACTTTCGAAACAGAAATCCAGAAGATAAAGCAAGAACTTTTAACAAGTAATTTAGACTGTAGTGCGAAAGATGAAGAAAATGAAGAAAATGAAGAATATCTTTATGAAATGGAGGACCTCATCGACCATTTGCCCAAATTGCCTGAAATCCAACAACAAAAACTCACTATTCCTGAATTCGATGAAATAGAAGTCAGACCAACCGACTCAGTAGAAATAAAGAAGTTCATACGTAAGGTTAACTATGAGTTTCTTGGATTTCATTGCAACCACAAAGTCATGGACAAAGACTGCGATATGGTATATAAGAATGTTTCTGACATATATAAATCTGAAGAATTTAAGACCTACGACAACTTTGTTTCGTTAGTTGCTGAATGTGTATGGCAGATAAGAGATAAAGATAAAAGATGTAAGGTATGGCATGAACAGATAAAACCAACTGCTTCAGATTTAAAGAAAACCATTGACGCTTTAGTTGTTTTAGCAGGTAAGGTTTCAATGTACAATGCTAAAATGAACCCACAATGTTCTAAATGTAAAGCAGCAATGAGGAAATATAACTACTCCGTCAAAGAGATAGAACGTATGCGAAACGACTATGCTGACTTAAAGAAAGAAGCAGAGAAACCAGCAGAAAACAAAATGGACATGTTAGCATTTCTAAACAAAAACTATCCAACAGCTGACGATTTCCTTCTTTCAGATGTCAAGAAGAAATATAAAGAAACATTCGGCATTGTGAAAACATTCGATGTACTAAAAGAAGAAATCGAAGCCACAAAATTGTTTAGAATTTCAAATATACATCGTACAATTCATGTAAAACGCTTATAAAATAACTGAGGTGAAAAAAGAGGTTAGAAAACAGGTTAGATCTAACCTTCTACCCTAAAATATATTTTTGCTGAAAAATGACCAAAATTCTGAGTAAAATAATTTTTAGGGCTTGTGTCAAACCGTTGAGTTTTCACAAAATTCCAAAAATAACGTTTACCATGTGAAACGCTTATAAAATAACTGGGGTAGAAAAGAGGTTAGAAATGAGGTTAGATCTAACCTTCTACCCTAAAATATATTTTTGCTGAAAAAAATGACCAAATTTCATGAATTTCCTCATATGTTTGCTACCCTCGGAAAACCGAGGGTAGAGATTCCGTACGAAAATCGCAAGAATTTGCCAATAAATTTAAGAGGTTGGTATGTACATAGACTATTAGTAAATGCAGTTGCAGTGAAGGCTTACTTTACATCGTTCAGAAACCAAACATACAGACATTGGTTCAAAAACCAAAGCACACAAGAACTTTTGAGCGAAGAACAGCGACCCAGACTTTTTTCTGAAAACAGTGAAGAACAGCGAGTAGGTAAAAAAACCCGGTCGCCAAAACTCTATGAAAATCGTGAAGAACAGCGACCCAGACTTTTTTCGGGGTCGCCTAAAACTCATGAAAATCGTAAAAATTTGTCAAGGTAGTATTGGAGCGCAATTTCTCCAAATTCTCTGTGTCGGAGTTCTTCAGCATTTTCCAAGGTGTACCTGGAGAACTCAAAGAAGTTGTCAAGAACATACTGCCATGCTGCTCTTCTGAGTTCGTCGGTATTTTGGAAGTGTTGCACCTTCGAGTCTTCTGACATGAAAAAAATGACCAAATTTCATTATATAACTGTTATTTTTTACGAAGTGAACTTTTGCACTTCGTAAAAAAAATCCCTGAAATCATATCTTTTATACAAAATAAATAAAATAAAGTTAGTTTTTTATAAAATATTTTTTTTATTTTGTATGTAAAGACAGAAAATGTTAAAGGTTGAGTTTGAAACAGTTAAAAAGATAGACAATGACACCAAATTGGTTAGAATAGGTGATTTAAACGTAAGATACTCAAAGAAATACAACAAATATTCTTTGTCAGACATTTTATCTCCATCTGGAAAGAGACCGAAGGACTGGGTTAGAATTGCTTCTACTCAGAAAATTTTGACAAGAAATCCTGAGCTTATGATATCGGTCAGATTCTATGGAACTACAGCATATCTTATAGACAAAAGTCTTATACCAATAGTTTTGTTATGGTTAGACCCAGTTGTTGGATATAACTTCATAACATATGGTTCATTCGATACGGAACGTTGCAGTGAAGGCTTACTTTACATCGTTCAGAAACCGAAGGACTTCAATACAAGAGATATAAGATAGGAAGAACATATAATATAACTCTAAGATATGACAGTACAGTCAATAGAGTCAAGGTTGTGTTGTTAACGATATGAGAGCTGCAGAAACAGAACTACTTGAAAAGTTTGAGAAAATGTATGGTGCTCCCACGAAAGGTAAAGAAACGTTTGAAGTAGATGAGATAGATAAAGCTATAAAATTATTTGACGAAGTTGCTGAAAAATACATGTAAAGCGTTTATTTTTGGTCTTTTGTGAAAGTCAGGAAATAACGCTAGTTTTTTATAAAATATTTTTTTTATTTTGTATGTAAAGACAGATATGTCAACAACCGAGAACACAACAACAGTTATAGTCCATGAAGCTATAAATGAAGAATATGAGTACATACAGTATAACAAACAGTTACGTCTCATTCGTTCGGTCAAAGACGATATGTACCAAATGCAAAGTATTTTGAATGCTCTTCGTTCTACAAAGCAAGCATATCATTGGTTTGAAAACCAACAGACAAAAGAACTTTTAGAAGAATTTCCTCATATGTTTGCGACCCTCGAAAAACCGAGGGTCGAGATTCCGTACGAAAATCGTAAAAATTTGGCTCCTGGTTTGAGAGGCTGGTATGTACATAGACTTCTTGTAAATGCTGTAGCAATGTGGGCTTCACCTCGTTACGCTTGTTATATTTTCATGATGTTAGATGAACTTCATAGACAAGAACGTGAAGAGATGGAAAAGAAACTTCATGCAAAAGATGAAGTCATTGAAGCAAAAGACAAAAGCCTTCAGAAAAGAATACCACGTTCGGTACCAAAAGGAAAGGAAAAGAACTATAAGTATATGATTTATACTGAAGAGATGGAAAATGAAGAAGACAGAGATATGGTTATGTTGCATTTAGTCAGAAGAAACAACAAAAGCTTTTACGACCTTGCTAAGATTTACAAATCTGACAGAAATTGGTTCTATCGCGAAAACTTACCGATTTCAATGACCCCAAATGAAGATGTGAAACAAATAGTTCAAGATACGTTACCTCAAACACACTATGATATTAAAGGTTGTACAATACTTACCTTCAAAGAAGATTTGCCATTGTTAAAGGAAAAAATAACAGAGTATTTTGACAACTTCAAACAAGTAGGGTAAATGCACTCTTTATTTTTACGCTTGACTTTTTACAATTTGAACTTTGTTTGCGTAGATATGAATTCTGAAAGAAGTATGAGGGTCTTGTATGACTTTGTACTTCTCCCATAGTTCATGTCTGTCAAACTTACCTGCCATGGACTCTTTCATAAGTTCCATGAAATCGTCTTCGGACAATCCGGGGAAAAGTACAATGTCAGTAAGTATTCTCTTTACATCCTTACTTAAACTCTTGGCTGTCTGTACACAAATGACAACTGAAATGTTAAAGTGTCTGAGCTTCTTAAGAATTCGACACATGTCTTGTTCTCTGTTCTTTAACAAAGGATGAGAAGCAAAGTCATCTAAGATAAGAAGACATCTATGAGGGTACGTTTTCCAATCGTAAGATTGCAATTTCTTCGAAATGTATTCTATCTCTTTCTGTTTGTTTCTGAAGTGTTTCTTCTCTAATATTCTCTGCATTTCCTCATTTGGGTCTTTAAACTTCGAATTGACATACTCATTTATAGCATTATACTTCAAAACCCTTCTTTGGTACTTCTTTATCCAATCTAACAACTCAGAGTCTTTTATACATACTAACTTAGACTTCTTTATAATATCTTTGAACGAATTGACGGTTTGGTCAAATTGACCCGAAGTACTACAAATGACAACTAACTCATAGAATGGGTTCTTCTCATCTAGTTCTTGTTGTTGTGCAGCCATTTTAAGATAAGTGAAAGTCTTACCAGACCCAGGTGGTGCAATTAGACCTGTTATACCATTCTGAGCAAATAAGAACTTGTCATGTATGGGTTTTATCTGAGCATTTTCCAACTTCCTCTTGTTCTTATTTAAAACATTCTCAAATTTTTTGTCAATGTCAGCAAACTTTTTTTCTAACATATTTTTAGAAAAATTAAAATTTTTATCTTTTAGAAAATGTCTAGCGATTTCGCTATCTATATTCGAGACAAGCTTTTCGACAGCAAAACATCTGTCGACCATAAAATCTTACATAGTGTAAACAAGAAAGGTGAATTTGTTCTAAAGTTCTGTTTCTGGGAATATGACAAGAACCATAAAACATTAAGCAGAGAAGTCTTAAAATTTGTCAATGACAGACTTGTTGACAGAGATGACGCCTCTTGGAGAGATGAAGTCCAACAAAACTTCTTAGAATGCAAAGAAGACACATGCACTGTTCTTGAAGATGAAATAGAAAACAGAATAGAAGAGCTATTAAAGGACAAAGAACTTTTACAAAAATATGGTTCTGAGAAGTTTGACATAACTCCACCAGAAAAGAAGAAGAGAGAAAAGAAAGAAAAGAAAGTAGAAGAAGAGAAGAAAGAACCAGAGCCAGAGAAGAAGAAATTTGACATGTAAAAATAAAATTTTATTTTTAGAACATTTCTGGGTCAATGTCAATGTTCTCTTCCTCTTTAGGAGCAAACACTGGCTTAGACTCTAAAATCTTTTTACCCAATTTACCTTGAACTTCAACTATCTTAGACTCATAATATTCATAGTCGTCTGCTTTCTTTGGTTCATAAGGTATAACAAGTTTGTATGCTTTGCCTTCTTTAAGGTTTGAGAACCTTCTGTCAAAACTTTCTTTGACTGTTAACAAACCTTCTATGTCTAAGTCTTCAAATTTCGCACCATTTTTAGTCACAATAGCAAACTTAACTGGTTCGATGTTCCAAACTTTGCTGAATGAAGACTTTTCAAAATGGTAGAAGTAAACATTCAAATATGTGAATGGGTCTAGTTCTTCTTTAAGTCCTGACATGTACTTGTTTACTGAGATGAATTTTGTCATCTTTTCTATCGGATAAAAAAATATTTTTTTTTAAAATTTACTCAGAAAAATTTTTCTTTGTATATACACCATTCTGTACGTCTAAAAGACTTTTGACATTTGCCAAGAATGTTCGTTTAGACGCTGTCATATAACCATATTCTTGACAATATTGTTTATACGAATCGTACAATGACCTTTCATCTAATGACACAAAGTCAGTTTCATCTATGAACAGTTCATATACACTCTTGTTTGCTTCTAACAATGTTTGTCTCTCTTCGGTATGTGGAATTTGTCTTGGATTGAACTTTGAAATATCTAATGTCATGAAATATGAGAACAAGTGGTTGTAAAAGTCAGATGTCAAAGTTTCTGCTAAGTCGTCAAAATATTCTGTATCTTGCATATGAGAATCTGACGTTCTGACAACTACATATCTTCTGTCAGAACTTTCTAATTTCATCGGAACAGCATTGTTTGAAACCATAATGAAGTTTGCAACATTTTCACAAACTCTTTGGTCTTTATACTTTCTTTCAACAACTCCAACTTTGTCTGTTATAAGACTCTTCAAAGCATCTGAGTTCAAAACTTTTGTTGTATCTATACTTTGAAGTTCGTTACATACTATAAGTTTCATATTCTCTATTGAAGAGTTAAATTTACCGCAGATGTTTTCTAAGTTTGTCATATTCGGATTCGAATAACCTTCTAACAGTTTGCACAAAATATCTGTAAAGAATGTGTTCTTACCTGTTCCTTGTTTTCCAATTATAATGAGAGCAGTTTCATTTTTAGCACTTGGATGTTGTAAGATGTTTGCAAACCAACATAAGATATACTCATAAACCTTTTCGTTTCCATTGCATATAATTTCTTTGACATGGTCTAACCAAGCTTCTATAATATTTTCTTTCCATTCTACTTGTTCATATTTATATCCAGTGAAGATAGAATAGAAGTTTGGAGAAGGTGTATAAAACTTTATACCACGAACTGAAAAATCTTCAAGTTTTGACAATAAGATATCCCAAGCATCTAACATCTTCATGCCAACTTGTACGACTTTTATTTTCTTAAGTTTCTGTTTACATTCTTGTTCTGAAACTATTGTCGCTTTAGGTTTGTTAAAGACTACATCCCATTCTTTCATAACATAACATTCTGGGGCAGAGTCAACATAAATGACTAAACGTTTCAAATTCTCGACTGCTTTGTTATAGTCTCGAAATGGACACATATTTCTGAATGTTTGGAAGTCATAAAAATCTGAAACATCTATTCTGTACATTTTTATAAAAATAAAAAAAATATTTTTTTTTATTCTTGAGCTATTTGTTGCATTTGTTGTTCTTGAGCTATTTGTTGTTGAAGTTGTTCTTGTAATACAATACTTTCACCAGTTGCATCTTCCAATTCGAAACTTTCTGCCGTCATTGACAAATACATAGGACATAAAAGTTTTACAGGAACAAAGTTTGCGTCAACTAAGGTTAAGTTTATGTTTGCTAAAGTGTTTGAGTTTACTAAAGCTGAAACTCTGCATTCGAATGAACAATAGGCAAACCAGCATGAGAATGTGTTATTTTATACGCATAAGTATCTTTTGGTCATAGTAGTTTCTGTCGACATTCGAATAACACTTTGAACCTAAGTTTGAAACAATATAAAAAGGTGTACTTAAAGTCAATGGAACAGACATTCCTTGTATGACACCTTTTTCCTGTTATAGGAAACTGTTGGTAGTAAAACCAGATATAAGTTTTGTATTATAGCTCATATTGTTTATAGTAAACTCAGTCGGACATCCAAACATAATGAAACCTGCTCTAGTTGCAGCACATGTTACACTCGTCCTTAAAGTATTAAATAAGTCAACAAAACCTGTTGGTGGTATATCTGAGTAAGTATCTTCAAAGGAGTATTTTTTACCATTCACAACAATAAAATCTTCTGGGGTCAAAAGAGCAAAACAAGCTTTAGTCGTCATTGGTGTTTAAGGTTAGTTTACAATATCGTCCTTGAGGACTTTGTAAGTTTGTTGTTATAGAATATATATGACTCAGGGTTTTTAGTCGTAATAGTATAAACCATTGTGTCTTCTGCCATTTACTTAGCAAATAAATTTTAATGAAATGTTGTGGTCGTCAAATTTATTTTTATAACGTCTGGAAACTATATTTTAAGTTCAACGTTTCACCTCCTTTCATAACGTATATCTTGTCAATGACATTATATGAAACACCACAGCAACTAACGTCGGGTTCTATTTCTTTGATGTTTATATCGTCTGCCTCTGTCAAAAGTTTCAATAGTTCTTTCAAATTTCATGAGGTGCAATGACATATGAGTTCACTTTTACAGGGTTGTGTTCGACCAAGTTTAACATTATACCCAAAGCTTGACAAATCTTCTCCTGAGTTTGAAGTTTGTCTTTCAGTTGTTGGTAGTCGTTTCGAATATTGCAACAGAACTTAAGTCTCTGCTAACTTCAGGGTATGTTGGTTGTTCTTTTACAGGAACTATTGTTATACCATCTTGGTCTTCGTATGGTTTCCCACTTCAACATCTCTGTCTTTGACATTGACAACAACACTTTGACTGTTTGTTTGAGTTGGTGAATTTAACTTCACATCTGCCACCGCCATTAAACCTTTTGAAACACTTACGCTTCTATTTTTCGGAAATGACATTTTACTTAGAATAAAAAGATGGACGTATTTGAGTATCTCTTCGAATTGAAGCAAAACAAAGTTTACACACACAAACAATACAAATACATTGACAGAATAGTTCTTTACACAAACAATGGAAAATGTTATAGAATAGCAGTCTTTGCTGAACCAAAATATTTTCATAAAGCAAAGAAAGTTGGTATAACTGAAATGGTGAAAGTTCTTGAAGCAGACAAAAATATAACTTCAAAACTTACAGATATTTCTAAAGTAAGTTTATAATACAATATTATGTCAAAACTGGCGTACTGTCAATATTTGACGGAGAGAAGTCAGTTCAAGAACAACTTACTGACCTGCTGCCAAAATCTGCTCGATGGAAGCTGTCGTTATACCAATCTGAGGAGCCCCAGCAAGTTTCATCGAACGAATCTTCAAAAGAGCATCTTCCGTGAAAAGTGCTATTGGTTTTGTAAACTTCTTTGCTTTCAATTCATCTGGACCGTCTCTGTCACCAGTATATTGTATTTGAACTGTACCAACAGTTGAAATACCACCCATAAAAGTCTTCTGAGTCAGCAAATGGAATGCCAAGCCAAAAGTTTGAACGGTCTCCATTTGTATATTGAGTTTTTTGACTTCCTGTATGGGTCCATACTTTCACATATGGCATAATAGAACTTTGCATTTCAGGGTTAATGGTTGTTGTGAAGTTGTTGTTAAAGTTCATAGCATCTAATGTCAAGTTGTATGACCTCATATCCTCAACTGTAGAATATTCTTCTCTTGGATAATATTTGCCATCTATGTTTATATGATATTTAATACCGGGGTTGTAGAAACAAGAATAGTCATTTATAGTTCGTCTGAACAGTACAAACATAGTATCTGCATGTTTCATTGCAGTTGTTAAGGCAATATCTGTTCTTGCACCTGGGTCAGCACTTTGGTTTCCAACTTCACCTGCAAAGTCTTTGACAGATATTTGGTGTATAGGGAACATAAGTGGAACTGCAATATATTTGGCAGCTAAAGCATTTGAAATATCTGGGTCCAACATATAGACTGCAAGTCTGCTTTCTATTCTCTTGCATTCAAATTTTTCGCATGTGAACTTAACTGGGTCCCAAGCAGTTCCAGCAGCATTGAATAATAGTTTACTTCAGTGTTGAAGTTTGAGAAACCAAAGTCTAAGTCAACTTTGTCTTTGCAAAAGTCGGCGAATGACGTTTTATTTGTTCCCTCTACGTCTGTAATAGTGAATGGGTCTTGTGTTGGTGCAATGACTAAGTTATTTTTGCTTGGAGTAAGTTCAATAGAAATTTTTCCTGCCCAGTTTGGCAAGTATCTTAAAAACCTGAAGATGAGGAAAGATGACAAAGGAACTCTAAGTTTCAGTTTTACTTTAGTGGCAGCAGTTCCATCTGAACCAGAAAGGTTAACATAAACTCCTGGAACGTTAGGGTCAAGTCTTCTTATTTCTCAATAGTTGCATACTGGTCTGTTTGTTCTCTAGCTTGTGGTTGTACTGAGTTTCTCAAAGCGAACCATTCATAGTTTGCCCATGTTACTGTTTGAACTAAGTCAGAGTTAGAATATATCTTATATCCCATGAAAACTTCTGGAGCAATATTGGTATCCGACATAGAAAATTCCATTGCAACCTTTCTTGTCAGACAACTTGGCAGAAGGTTTTATTTCAATGTCTTGTTCCACGTATAAGAATGAGTTGTCAATAGAAATAATATGAAACCTGTCGCAAGCAATATCTACTGTTGTTGAAGAACCTTCTCCAAACTCACCTACGTTTCCATAAGAAACAGCAGTTGTATATTCGTAAGTTCCAGGAACTATTTCTGACCTTCTAATGGCATTGTCGCATTCGTTATACCATTCGGAAACATTTCCGTTCATGGCATCCAAAACTGTTGGCGTTATATTCTGAGCGGCGTACATTTCATATGGGTAAAAATATAGAATAGTTGGATTTATATGTCATAATAAAACCCACTCGGACCAAGCTTTACTTTCTTCCTGGCTGAGTTTTTAACTCTTCTTTTTCCTTCATTGCCACTACTTTCACTAGATGAAGTTACTTCTTCACTACTTTCACTTTGTTCTACTCTTCTCTTCTTCTTTGGTGTCGCTTTTGGTAACTTGCCTCTGCTTCAAGTTGTTGCATCTTTGCCTCATGTTCACCTAGTATGTTGTAAATTTCCCATGTCCTTTTTGCCTTTGGGCTCTGGTCGCCCATCTCAGGTAACCTATATCCTAGAAAGATTTTGTCATAGTTTGTATTTGAGTCTTCGCTTATTGTTTGCATGACTCTTTCCTGAGTTTCCGGTTCAAGCTCTTCAAACAGAGCTTGTCCATATGGAATAAGCTCGTTTCCAAATATATGTTTTTGTAGCCATTCTGGTTTTCTTTCCATGTTACCAATAATATCTTTTGTGAATGGGAAAGCTTTTACCCAATCTTTCAGTCTTGCGTCATTTATTTCTGTAGTTGGTTTTATTTTGTCAAGGAACATGTTTTTCAATACTAACATTTCATTTGGTACTGTCCATTTGAGTTTTCTTAAATATTCATCCCTTCTCGGTTCATTGTCTGCAAAGTAAGTTTTTATGACATTTTGTAACTTTCGTTTGCAAGGTCATGTACAATAGGTTCTCTTCCTTCTGTCTCCCTAACTTTCTTTCTAAACTCTTCACCAAATATACCATCTTTATGGTTCTGTGTAGTTCTTTGAGATAAATGTTCTAGAACGTCAGGTGTTATATTTCCATCAGCCATGTTCATTTCATACTGGTCCAAAATATCTGCATGTTTCATATCTTTCAATGGCATTAAAGCCGCGCTGAAAATACCAGCTATATCTGGTTCACCATTCACTTCCATTGCGTCTACAACTTCTTGGAATTGTGGTTGTAAGTTTATGAACCACCTATCCGGGTTAGCTTTATGACCCCATCTCATTGTAGTTCCATAGTCTGCAGAAACAAAAGTAGGTTTGTTT